CGTAAGTTCCTTTCACCCCCCCCCCCCCAATAACCCTCTACAAAGTTTTGCGCACTCTTTGAGTTACGTTCTGACTGGTTTCTTCGAGATTTCCGTCGTTCATCATGTAGTGTCGTTAGCTTAAGCATACGTATTTTCTGTTTGCTGGATCATAAACACCCGGACTGCGCTTTCTCTACGAACTCTACGTTTGTTGCTGACTTGCGCACCTATTGTACGACAGTGAAGCACAGGTTTTGAACATGATGTCATGCTATCGATGATGATGCGCACGTATTCTGCCCATGTTAAGGTCCGTGAGTTCTACCTCTGGATACCTCTGCGCCTCATGGCTTTTCAATGAGTTATGTTACTTGCGTAAAACTGACTACTAGGCTGCTCAATACATAAAGGCCGATAGGGTTTTCCCATAGTTTGTCGCTCCAGTATTCTTACACAGGTAAGCCGCGTATCAAAATCCTGCAGCCATTGCTTAGGCCGAAGTGCCTACTGAACAATATCAAAGATGTGCATTCTGACGATTTCCCCAGTCAATTCAAATTTGGCCGATGGAAACCCAATCGAGAATGCACATTTCTCCGACAAAAAAGCCTACAAAGTTTTCCTGCGTTTTTGTCCCTCGGTAGCCTTAAACGAAGATGGCATTAGGTTGAGTTAATCATATCCTACGGTGTATTCGCCTTAGAGTGCGACGATCTCAAGGCAAGTTTGAAAGATTACGGATGAAGAGCTGTGGATGAGCTCGTGCCTTCTGAAACACTACTTTTGACTAATGTTGGGCAGGACAAATCATGACTCACTACTATCAAGACGTTCAGCATCGTATGTCTGTCGCTCAACGGGGACAACTTGCTCATCTGTCAGGCAGCTATCTTAATGACAGTTTCACGAATTCGCGCACCGTACAGGTCCTGTGGAACGGTCTGCTAGAACGGTGCAGCATAGAGCTTAGTATCTGTATTATTAAGGAGAAGAATCATTAAACTTTCGTTGTGTGGTATCATTGGGGCATTAAGGACTTCGAAACTTATGCCGTAGATCTTCTGTTGACAATTTTATGACTGCTGTGCTTGTTCCCAATCAGGATCGTCTTATTTGATCTTCTGTTCAACTTGGCTCGAGCTTCTCCATCGATGGGATGCCAGCTGGTTCAGACCAAAGGACTACTGTTGTTTGCAGCTGCACTACAATCTGCCTCGCCAGCTCACCTGAATGGAACCTTGCTCACGCGCTTTATAGACTTGGCCCGTGAACTAGTTCATCGCGCTGACTGCCTTCGGTCTGGCACGCTCGATTCGGCTCCGATGATGCACTCCTCGTTCGTTTTACTGTTGCTTCGACATCTGCACGGCTATTTATTTTGCAACCCAAACGTGTGGATTCGAGCACCGCTTGAAGTACGTTCCCTGTGGGTTGCTGTACTCAGTATTTCAGCACTGAAAGACAACGCACTTTCAACTATCCAATATCTCATATCAACAGTTTGTGCAGTGTGCGACTGCGGCTTTTCATTTTGTCACCATCTTTTGCTAATTTTCGTCTATAGTTTACGGGTCGAATTGCCCATCTACGGTTCTTGTTCGAAAACTTTGTGTGCTTCTTATTTCATTGACTTATTGCACAAGTGCACTTGAGAGCACGAATTCCATAGTGGAACTACTAGTCACTGAAGTCATTCAGTCTATGGAACAGAAGTTGTTGGACGCTTAGAAATACTCAGTAGTGCGTCAGTTGATGATCATTGTGGTTCTCTTTGATGAAAACCGCATATCTAGTTAAGGTTTCGGGTCAAACCGGATTAAACATACCCTTTGACTTAGACAGCTTTGAGACGCCCTCCCAAGCAACACTGTGAAATTACTCTTTAAGGTGCGGTTTCCTTCGAAATTTCGGCACAGGGTAAGGAAGTTATGTGGTTGGTTTCCTGAGAATGTTAACCTGGAATTATCTCAGAACGCCATAACGACATTTTGCGCCCCAACGTCAGGGAGGGCGCATAAAAATCATCCAGAAGCTAAACATGCCCAGTAAGGAAAAGGGGCGAAGGACTGTCTGTCATTGAAATCGCAGTTAATCGGGTGAAAGTGTTTTACATTTTTCCTCTGGTTGTTCTGTGAAAGTTTTGTCGTAATTAGCAAGTGCTGAGTAAAAATATCCTCAAATTCCTTCAACGAAACGAGTAACGACACACGCTACCCATGGTTGTATTATTCACTTTTTTCCGTGTAGATCGGACCTTACACAAATACGATGTCAGAGAGTACGTTCCAAAGAAGATCGCAATTTTGTCCGTTTCCGTGGGTGCACTCCGTTTGGGGAGGTGGGGAAGCACTATCTTGCGCATCGGCTTCATCATCATCGACAGCATTTCAGTGTTCAGCACTGACGTTTCGCTGTCGTACAACCCTAATTTCTTAAATCCCCTGTTACAAAAAGAACAAAAATGGATGGGGAAAATATTTAGTGCCATGCTACCACCATCTATCCAAGGTCTATCGGCGACCTATCTCCAGACACCCACTCGGGCACTCTAAATAGAAACTGGTAATGAGAACAGCTACGCATTTAAGGCGATTTCTTTGGTGCATGAAGCCACTGACTGCGTGATTGAGCATCATCGTCATTCGAATCAAAACCGAGTGAGAACACTGGTGCTTCATTGCCCTATATTATCAATTTATTTGAATGAAGCCTTATAGTTGAAAGAAGGAAGAGGTGGGACAGGGAGGGGACCCAGGGCTAGCCTGCTAGAAGCATCCGAGACGCGTACAGCTCTAACCATCATCCAGATAATCTGGATGGAACCTGACAGCATGAAGGCTACTGATATCGGTTAGCCGCCATGTCTCTCCAAAGTACAGGGACTTAGCATGATTGATAAATGTCTGACAGTGTCAGTTATCAACTCCGCTAGGACAAGGCTTGGTAAAAAGAGCGCTTTCATGGAATGCGAAGTACGTGCCCTGACCTACGTAATCTATGACATGTGATTGGGTCATCCACCACAGAAAGGTTGCTTCATCGCAAAACCATGTAGCCTACCTCAGCATTTCTAACCTAGTGTTCCAACCAGACCCAGCCAATGCTTCGCATCCTTCATGATACGATTACTTTGGCCAACCGCACGAGCCAATAATAGCGCATACGCTGCGGCCTCGAATGCCAGTTCAGTGAATCGTCGAAGTTAATGATGTAATATTTTCCCCTTTAATGAAGCACCTTAGAAAGTTTACCTTGCTATCCCTCTTGGTAGAAGACATTCTTCCTTAGGAAAACAGTTGCTTCTTGGAACCCCCCGAAGGTTTAGTACATACAATCTTGCTGCGAATCACAATTGACGCTTGGTTTGGTTGCAGCATCATTCTCGACCTTAGCGTCTTTAGTTCCACGAACAAAATTTCTGCAGCCGGCACATCTTAACTCCCACACATATTCCCTACATGCGTAGCCGGCCACACAACCCTATACTGGTTTAGATTCATATAGACACAACCGCTTCGCAACATTCGCAATCCTTTCAAACTTAAGGCGATGAGCCTCCCTATGTTGTCCGTATGCAGCTCATCTGAGAAATCGAGTCCAAAGGAGTTGAATCCCTTTTTACCATCGACGCAGTTCAACGGACAGAATCTTCCCCTCACTTCAGTCGTGATGTGTTTTTCAATCCTTCCACTGTGAATAGTACAGCGATCGCGATGTTTTTCGATTACTTCTATCTTGGTCTGTGTAAACTAATAGTATTTTGGTTCTCATCTTTCCTTTGGGTTGTATGACAGCTATTTGCCGAACCGGTTTTAACGGAATGGTTTTTTAGTGTTAACGTAACTTAATACTTTATCGTTCCTGATGCTTTCACCCAAACCTAGTTTCGTCAACTATATGCAATTTCTGGTATCTTTAACAGGTACAGGACCAACTGTATCAATTCTTGGCGACGGAGTTTCTGGCCGATGTTGTTCGACATGGGTGCGTGAATAGAACGACTACCGTGTTCCAGTCTATCTATACTCTTAAGTACTATTATGCCCTTGCAGATCCTCGCAAACGTAGTGGTTTCCAGTTGAAAACTCCAGGTAAGCAAACAGTTTGTGTGACCGTTTGGTTTCTTGGTCATTCTCTTTCTCAACGCCATTTCCTCAGACGTACAGCTTACATTCAACCGGTGTAGGCGCTTGCCAAATACATTTGTGTGCAGAGTGTTGCATCAGGGGTCGACGATGATTGAAGTTCCCTAGTCCCCGACGATTTCCCTCAGGTCTTGATTTGAATGCAAATGCACTGTGGTGTACCCCTAAGTGTGCAGTGATTCCCGTTTAGAGGGACCGTCTTTCGGACCGATCAAAATCTTCTCTTCCTGAACACAAATAAGTTCTAAAACACTAATTTCTGCTTGTTTGCGTATGTTTCGCTTTTATCAACCCCGTTATAATTGTTCCACCAGAACTGTTTGATGGAGAGTGACTTTGAGTGACTTTGCTCTTATGGTAAGGTTCTTGTCAGGTTTATTCACTTCACCTGACATACGTGGGCGTCATTGTAGCCACTCAGTCACGTACCTTCTGAGTTGTATTATGGACATCATCAACAGCGGTGCACTAATATCATCCGCAACCTAAACTAACGGTTTCCACTCAGTGTGCGTTTTCCTACTCTCTTTCTCATCAGACTGTTCACATGTAGCCAAAAGAATCTTGTTATTTGCTATTTCAGCTTATTTCTATTGATTGGTGCTCAATATCAGTTTTTAGGCTGATGATTAAGTTTGCAGCTGCTACTCTCCTCGTACTATTAGCATCAGTATAGCATCAAATCAACGTTAATTATGGTTCTCCGGTTTTCCCAACAATGGGGATTGACTATTTTCAGCAACGCAGCTCTTTTCCGAGTACATTCACTGTCAATCATTATTATGGCGGTGCAATCCCGTAAAATCAGTCAGATGCGGATGCTCGCTCCATTTATTTTTTGCGCCCACGGTAGGCTATTTTGTGAATCTAGTCTGTTGAATGATAAGGCTGTTTTAACCTGCTCAGTTGGTGTTCATGTTTACACAACTTCGCTGCGGAAACAAACCGTAGCAAACAACGTTTATACAATTTCATTTTTGTCTGTGAGTTGTTTCGTGTGGAATGTTCCCCGTGAACGTGATCCAGTAGTAAAATGGGGCCGGAGAAAATGGTCCTTTCCTGTGAAGATTTATTTCCAAACAGGGTTTCCTTAAATGGGGATCATTGTCTCCAGTGAGAACCTTCGCGCGAATTATCCGCCACACACCTGTTTGAGGAGAATAATTTGCCCGCACTACAACTGGTCTGTTTGTCTATTCTTCATGTGGTCTGACTGTTTTTGTTGGCGTTATTGAATATGGAAGAGAAATCAGTATTCTCATTAGACTTTTACTTGATTATCGGGATCACCATTTGAGGTACCTATTTCCAATGTATTCCATCGTAGACAACCTACCGCTTTCCAACACGGACGAGGTATTGAAATTACGTGCCAATCTTCTTGTGTATATCAAACAACTGGTGGTTCGTCATGGCTCCATTCTGGATACCGAACTACAAGCGCTGCTTAATTACCTACTAATTGTTCATGAGGTGAGTAGTCCTCGCTCCGTTCTTCCGTCTCTCGTATTCTCTAACAGTCCTTCCCACAAGTTTCCTTAATTTTTAGACATTTTTACTCTTTTTTTGAGGATGATCATGTCAATGCCAGTTTCTTCATACTGTACATTTGGAAATATCGGAACTTGGGGAGGAACATGTGAGGATTGGTTATCTGCTACTCTTGGGTAATTGTGGGTTGTATCTGGAACAAATCCTGACCCTGGATAGGCTTTTTCTATCAGGCTTACATGCTATGCTCTGCCCCATATGTCAGCTGAGCAAGCACCGTAAAGTGCCATGTAGGTTCGGAGAAATACGGCAAGGAGTCTTCTGGAAGATGCACGCGGGAGCTCCATACAGGTAACAGCTTGTGGTCTGTAAGCCTGCCGGTTGAAGTTTATAGTGTTCGTCTTCAGAACCATTGGGTGAATTATTTTGTTCACCGAATCTGCTTTCAACGTTGATCTAGAGATCCACCGGTGATTAAGCCTGCCCGCTTAGGCTTCTACCCTAGAACGGTCACGGTCCGGTGATTTAGCTTAGGCTTCTACCCTAGAACGGTCACGGTTGCGTGTGAACAGCTATTTCAGCCCTGCATGAGATATGAGGGGATAACCAAAGGCAGAGAGACTGCCAAACAAAGATGCATACCGCTACATATTTGGACAACCAGTGTATCTGAACCGTCACAAGATGCCGCTTACCATAGTACTTCATTCGACCGGCTTTTTTTCTGAACGTATACTTCCTTTACACAGGGTCGTTTCCTCCTCCGTAGCTTAGTTTAGGCTGCGTGAAATGACAAGTTTAGTATGTGCGTGCGATTTGGACAATAACCTCGTTAGCGTAAATCCTCTAAATGCAAGCACGCTGCTCGGCACAATCTAAGCAAAGAGAGGCTACAAATATATGCTTTGTCTCTTTTCTGACGTGACTAATCTTAGTTTACATATTCATGATTTGCATTGCTTTTCTTTTCCTAACCAGTGGTATCCTTCAAAAACGGAAAGTGGCACTTCTCATTTGGTTTAATAATTCCGACTAAATTGAGATTTTTAATGTGTCGGAAGCTTCCTTGTCGGAACACAAACTCGGCACGATGGGTTCTGTTGGTCTGTTTAGCATTCTTGTTGAGCAGATACTGCTTTGTTCCGTTTCCAGACTTGTTTCACTCATGAGTTTTCTCAAAACCAATAGGTTTATTCAAAACTTACTTTCTCCCCTGACCCTCTGTTCATGTCTTTGCAATCCACTACAGCAGCTATCACAATCCTATAGTGTTACCAAAGCGTTTTTGTATATAATCCGTTGATTTTCGACTTAATCCATACACATTTTCTTATACACTGTAGGATGAGAATTTGCACGATGTGCTGTATCTGATCACAACGTTAGCCATAGAGCAACCCTCGCTGATGGGACCTGCTTTCATCCGGAATGACGGACTGCATGTGGTTTTCAAACTCCTGGCTTCCGACGACGAACACATTCGGGTGTATGCCATCAAACTGCTCGGCTTCCATACTCAACAGTGTAGACTATTGTGAGTTTAGTTCCCTTTCCTTTTCTCTGTCGTGTGTGGGACTTCTTAGCTTGATTTTGTAGTCTCGTTCGTCCGAATCGAGTAATAGGGGGGATACCACTAGATGTTGTCTGGTTCCATATTTCTTGGTGATTTATCGCTTCATTTGAAGCAACAGCTTCGTCAACAAATTAGGCGCAGCCTATTCAAGTTAGTCCCCTTTCCATTAGTATTGGGCGGTCGCTTCAGACGCGGATGTGAATGAAGCGTCCTCAAATGGTTGTTGCTCGACAATTTTCCCCGCTCAGCTTGTTCACCACCTGGTTAGCTGCTTTGTTCGCGGTCGATTCATTTTCATTGGTATAGATTCCCGAACAGCTTGCTATCGAGACTGTTTGGTATGACCCGTTCTGTACAGCAGCACCTTATTTTTCCCATCCAATAGACGCAGTGAATTTTACAGTACCTCTAACCATAGAATACTTTTACGTAATAACCCTATTCTGCTTCCCATTTTGTGGCCAAGCCATTAGCTACAAAACGGGATGAAGAAAAGAATATTAACAGTCACCACAAACTGGACGCAACAAGAACTATTTTCGAACTATTTTTGGTTCTGTCCTACTCTTCGGGATAAATCTTGGGATTTTAACCGTTTGTCTCCTTTGTTGATATTCTCTATTATTCTTAATTCTGATCCCTCTCCTGGGTTTCCGATGAATGATTTCTTTCGTTGAGTGAAGCACTGGTCGGTTGCTGTTACCTATGGTTGACTCAGCTGTTAGCTGTGCGGACGTGCATCTCTTCGTGGTTTTTGCTTTTATTCTATGAAACTACGGAGCATGGTGAAACTGGCGACCCCTGCATGGTGTTGTAAGGGGATTCGGTACAAAGTATCCAATTTTACAGATGCTAGCGTAATGTATGTTAGTCGAGTTTGATCATTTGGAGCAGAAAATCAAATTTTTCTATTTATTTAACCAAAGCAACTCTCACTCGTTCGCCAAGTTGAAAGGCGCAGAAGATAGCACCAATGAAACTACCACAGTACTTCTATGATTGTGATCACCCGTATGGTTCTTCAGAGCCGGTGATTAGTTTTCCATTACGATTCGTAAGCTCTCTCAACGCACATCAGCTTGTCTGCATTCACACCTGTTCGAAAAGCCAACCGTGTTGCTTAGACTCACTTCTTGGTGTCAGTTTAATAGTTTCCTGCTCGACTGGTCAGTTGTTTGTATCGACAACCCGACTCCATTAAAGCATTCCTTCCTTTTTTGTAGGCTGCTTCAATGTGTGAAAAGTGCCTCGTATTATGATCAGACGTAAAGAACGTAAAGATACATCTTTGTATTTAGACTAGCGGGTGGGACAGAGAATCAGTAGATTATGAGACATATATATGACGTATATGAATTTTCCACGGACGTACTTCCTCATACCCGTCCTGAAAATCGTTTGTTCCAATTAATGACGTGGTCTTGCTTTAGAAAACGCGAAGATCCTATGGAGCGGTACCGTCTGTTCACCATGCTCGCCGATCAGCTGAGTCATTCCACACCGGCTATGTCGATGCTCACCTACAATGTTTTAATAGAGGTAAGAATAATTTTCACTGGAATTCAAATTCGTGAAAATTCACGACATCCTTTCCGTTTTATTTTGGAATGCTTTATTATCAATATCTGGTACTCTTTGTTCACATTATATCGGACTCTTTGCCATACATCGAACTGGATGTGCTGTCGACCGGCTGGCTTTTCTGCATATTGTTGCGCACTATCGAGGATTACTGCGAATCGCGTCACAATCTGCACGTGCATTTTTATGAACTCCCAGTCTCAGTAAGAAGAGTGGACCCCTTGTTCTCTTTCACCAGATCTCCTCCAGAATGCTAGCCGTGTGGCCTGATTCGCCTACACACGCAACAAATCAGTATACATGATGTGTAGCACGCAGACAACTACAGCACACCGGAAAGTTCCTTCCAAAACAGTCTACTCCGGTGTTCAGTTCGGTCACCTCCAGTCCCGTGGACCAGTTTAGCGTTTCCGAGGGTTATCAACTCAGGTTCAACTACAAGCCAGTTTATGAATAATTTTCTGGCACTCTCCTAATCCAAAGTTTCGAAGGCCAGTGGAAGTTTGCCAGTAACTTGAAAAGATTTTGAAATTATAATAAAAATTTCATCCTTTAATGAAGCCTTTCCATGCTCAAATGCCAAAAACCACTGCAAAACGGTGCACATGTCAGGAAACTCCACGTAGATTAGTGCCCGCAGCAGCCCTGCCACGAGCTGTTGATCAGCAGTGCAAATGACATACTGAGGATATGGTGTCGCTCCTGCTTCAGGCATGCACTTATAAGGCTGGAAATCATCGGCTCTGACCCTACTGTACCCTGCTTGAAAAATTAAGATTTACGAACGATGTAGCTGTGATAAGTGGTTCCCCTTTTTTTCTTATTCAAACACATCAGTACTCTAGTTCCGCTTGGTTCTCTGTATGCTCCGGGGCTAAACAGTGAGACTGGGGTATTCATTGGAAAGTGCATCTAAATGATTTGGATGTGTTCCGTTAGGAATGTGGTGAGAAAGTGGTGATTAAACTCAGTCGCGTACCGGATAAGTTCATAACTCAGCACTAATATGGTTCCTTTTAGGTGTGAATGGTTTCCTCAAGAGCTATCTCATTCATTCCAGAGCACTGTGAACCCTGAGTTCCCTTAATTCGGATACGCCAGTCTAAATGAATGTTCAGTGTTAGTTATAGACAACGACGGATTGCGTGTGATGTTCAACAAACCGTCCAAGTTCTCTAATGCTTGTGGCTCTTGGATAGTATGCCGTTTTAAGAAAAAAACTGGCTGTACTCTTGTATATCTAGATCTATATAGCTCAGGGGTTAAAGCGCGAACTTAAGGACCTTCCGGTCAATATTGTTACCCCTACTATCGTTATCATTATTCCATCAAAGCTTCGGTTTAGCCGTGGAGTGTGGACCAAAATCTATCCTAATACCTGGAAACAGCTTGGGTGTCATTTTTGAATACACAGGGTATAACTGATCTCAATAGACCCCAACCAAACGGTGGTTCTGTGAACAATGCGCCATAACCTCCTGCGCCCCCCATTACATCCTGTTTTCTTGAGATTCGTCGCACACTAGATGTGCTCATTCAGTTTCGAATCACTGATAAACCTATATTATGCGGAGCTGAGTCGGTTATCGTTGAGCACTTGGAGGTCACACTGTGCCTAAATTGAATCTTGATCAAGTTGCTACTAATATGGTGACCAGATAATTTTGTTAATGTATGACGCGAAGCCGTAAGCTGCCACTTTTAACTGTTTATACATGACGTTGCTTCCCACTATATACTCGATAATATCGAGCGCAATCAGTCCGAACAAAGATCATGTGCTTTGTTTGCCTTTTATGCCCGGTAATCAGTTTGAAGTTTAAGTTTAAAAACCACGATATGAGATCAAGGATGTTACAGTCACCTTGAAGGCACGGTAAGTTGCTATTTTGAGCTCTAATTATTCAGCTTGATGTTGAGGATGTGTAACAGAAAATCAGAATTCTGAAACAAAGTAGCTGTGCAACCCACGGGCTATCAACTAACACAAACAACGTGTTTTCAAATGACAGGTACCTGAACTATGAATCCTCACAGTCACACACGTTTCCACACACACCCGCGTACATTTGGAAGCCTGGTAGACAGAGGCGAATGATTACGCACCGACGACAAATAAATAATAATCGTTCAGCTCCAGCACCCTTTCGGTGCCTAGCTGCCATGCCATGGGAGAGAGGCACGAGGGCTAGGATACTGCCGGGTCGCCCAAGACAGGGGAAGTCGAGAGGCAGAAGTCGGGTTCGAACCACGGACCTTCCGATCAGTAAATTCGCGTTCTAATCACTTGGTCCATCTCGCCCACGGTGCGATATAGGAAGACTGACTTGACAGACCGAACAGTATGCTATTAGAAAAACGGTAACCTAGACGCCTCGGGATGACGAAAAGAGAAACAAGGGAGATAGATGTTGCATCGGGTCTGGTATTCTCCATAGAAGCGTGACTTTCGATGCATCCGCAAACTCCTAAATGCCTATGATGAGTACACAATTTCCACATAGGTATTTGCATACGGCGACACCTGGTACTGGAGACGGGTTTAACCAAACTGCAGCAGTTCAAAGTCTGTCTATCGAATTCACTACGCCTGTGGTCAAAGGGTGCAGCTACTCTAGGCACAAGTAGCAGGACATCAATGGCATTCTGGACTTTCACGAATTAACAATCATATTAAACAATTTTGTGCGTGGCTCTTCCTTCGCAACACACACTCCACTGCAGACTTCACGCCTCTGCCCAGAGGCGATAGGGTGCAACTCCCACCCCGCCCATATCAACCACCTTGATGAAGTAGTCTGTCAACCGTCTAGGTTAGCCTGACTTTACAGTTCAACAGGCAACTCAAGGCAGCCTTAGGCGAGATACCTCTCGTGACATTGGTGCGCGACCTCAACGGACACAGCCACTTTCTTTGTCATTCCAGCACCCGTTTCTGAGAACTACGAGTCAAACACGACACACGCGCAGGCACTAAAATCGAACCCACCTGCGGGAACTGACACCAACTGATCCGAATGACAGTTTACCTAGCGCTTATTCATTGCACTACTGTTAGGTCTTCGAAACTTGTCACTCGTGATAATTGAGAAGTCGGTACTAAAAAGGGTCATCGTCACATCGTGTTTTTTATTTAGGCTGCAGAGACCAACGACAAGTGCTGTTTACCCTAATTTTCATTCTCAACAACCTCTTTATCAGGTATTGCTGGATGACATTACCACGAAACCTCATTTAACCCCCATGTCTCCGCTCCCAAAGGAGGCAACCATCAAAAATGCCAGTAAGTGGTTTATCGCGCGTCACAGAATGCATTTGTTTATTTTACTATCAAAGTTTTGAATATGTTTCACTTTCCTCAGTAGTGGACTGATTCTCTGACCCACTATTTTATGGGCTATGTTTTTTGGTGACTTAATAGTTTCCTTTTTGTTCAGATTCCGTGGCTCGCAGACTATGTTTGCAGTACTGCTCGTTCGAATGCTGATAATTCTAGATGTAGTTCAATTAAACAAACCTGTCGACCGAGACTTATTAGATCGACAATGTGCATATTGACCGCTTGGTACGTAATTCTCGAAGTCTCATTATTTTTCTTGCAACGCATTTTCAACTCTTATACACGAGATTTTCATTCGTCGTTCGGCGCGAATTTGTTGTTTTTGTACTGTATTCATGCCCTCGCAATCTGGCACCGAGTTCTCAACTGGTCCTCAAGGATAATCTTTTGTCAGCTTAGATTGTTCCCAGACAACAACAGAACCTCAGTTGGTCAACCGATGTGTGAAGCGAGGTGAAGTGAATAATTCATTCACGTGAAAATGACATCAACCCCTTTTTTAGTTTCTTTTTTCTGTGTTCCTCTGTATCATTCCAAATTAACTTGAAACGCTCAGTATCCTCCATTGTTTGTTGGTCCATGTAGTTGCCAAATTACTCGACAAGTGGAGACATTTCTTGAACCGCCAAAGGCTTTCTCTAAATGGAGGGGATGTCAGTTGTAATATTCCGCCTGCTACAGGAGTAGTCATGACCTTTGTAGATACACACGTGTTTGTCGTAGCGTATCACAGTTATCAAGGACAGTGATAGTGGTAATAGAGTCGTTTCCGTTCCCTACCTTACAGGTGTTTTACGCGTTATTTCGACCTTGATCCGCCGCTCTCCTGCCACTCCCGAACTGCAACTCATTAAGCAAACATTCCTACGACACCTGATTGCTCTGTGTGGTGAAAACGCTACAAATAGACGGTAGGTCCGGCAAACAGTTTTTGGTCTTTCCTGGCCCGGTATTTGTATTGTAGTGAACAGCTTTGGTTTGCACCATCCGTGGGTCGCAATCCATTTGCTCTCCCAGTGTATTTTCTTCGGTGTTGGCGGAACTCACATAGAACTATACCAGTCGGTGTTTTCAAGACAGTGGAGGTAAAATTATTACTTGGTGGCTAGTGCAAGTGCTTCGTTGGCCTTTGTATAGAATTTGAGCTATGCTGCACGAATCTCACGAAAGCACATTCTTTTCAAGCGAATCAATTGAGAACAAAGGTGTGAATTACTGTGTCATTCTTTAGTTGTTTCGACAGTGGTTCATATGGCCCACATACTCTGGCGCTTAAGGCCGACAGGTGCTGGTTTGCAGATACCCGACAGCGGAAGTCTGTTTCACCGTATGATGGTGATAGCGCTGGCAGTTAGTGCTCTATCCAGTGCCCTAAACGCCTCTGAAGGCTCTTTGTAAGTTCACCATGAACAGCTTTGGGAACACCTTGTCTCGGAGCGCAGAAATAAAATGAAAATTCGTTCGAAGATCCCTAGTTGCAACAGCAATTCTCATCTCAGGTACACTTAGTTGGTTTAGCGAGCACTTCGCAATGTACATCGAATAATTGTAGTGAGTGGCCGGTTACCCAGTGTTTCTTGTAACGTACAGATCGACCACAACTGGCTAAACCGAACGTGTAGCCAGATTCCAACTACGTCCAGCGCAGCTCAGAACTTTCGGGTTGTGGCGACATCATCAAATGCGGAAAATTTTCATAACTTTATGAAATTGCGTCAGGTCCGTTTTGTTAGTAATCGAGCTTCAATCTTCACCGAAGCGAAAAAATGCCGCTGGTGCATGATCAGAGCCAGCACCAGTTGACCATCTGTCCCGCCATCGACAACAAGTACCGGTCAGAGTTGATGATTGACGAGATACGCCAAGTAGTGCGTCGGCAACCCGGACGGTTGAAGTAAGCACTAGTTTTGAATAGATTATGGTCTAGGCACAAGCTGAAAAGCCTCTCCATGTTATTCTATCGGATGCTATCCAGGCAAACGATCTGGACAAATGGGCCTCTCAGTGTTAAGCGGTCCACAACTAGCATGATGACGGTAAACGGGGCTATGCAGTAATTTAGCTCATTTGGTAGTTGATGTAACTGGTTCTTGATGATACAACGGCCAGTTTGTAGCAGGAAGGACAAACGTTTAGTAGCGCATGTTGATTGCGATGCTGGATACCTAAGTCACGGTACACAGAGGACTGTCGATTGGGATGCAGTCTCAAGGGGCTCAGCTGTTTTATCCGAGCAGATGGCCACTTCTGTTTGACCGACGCTGTGACGGATCTCCGGAGAAACCTCCATTATACTTTCTGAAAAAACCTGAGCGTTAGAGTGAGTTCATTTTCGCGTTATCTACTTGTGGAAGCCTCTCAGCGAGCCAGCATAAATCAACGTTTAAGGTCCCCCAAAGTTACTGACAGGTGATTGCTGATCTACGCACATTAGAACTGGCATGGTTGAAAGTTATACTGAAGCGAAACAATCAAATATTGATTACGAAATACCGATTACAACCGGTAGGTGTAGACTGTGGCAGTAACTATTTCGAAGTCATTTTACAGTGGCTAGAATGCCCAGGCGATAAGACCAAATAAATATTTGGTGGCTGTGTAAGGTGGAGAGGGAGATTGTTTGAAGAAAGCATGGTGCATATAGAGTGTAGACGAGTATCGATGTGAAACAATGCCGCAGCGCTAGCTTCTGCGTGACCTTAGCTCGTCAAGGCCATTCGTTACTCCAACCTCGCTGACGGTACGAATAAATATGATTAAGCGTAAATTTTTCAAGCTGATAATGTGTTGGAATATTGGTAGCTCGGGTGTATTGGTTGGTAATTGATTAGGTGGCTGTTGATCTGTTCGCCGAGCTTGGCAATTAATTTGCAAACGTTTCGTCACCATTCGAGGCGACATCTTCAGTGCACAGCGCACACTTCACAGCGCACTGAAGATGTCTCCTCGAATAGTGACGAAACGTTTGCAAATCAATTGCCAAGCTTGGCGAACAGATCAAAAGCCACCTGATCAGTTACCAACATTTTCCAAGCTCTTCGTTCCCGAAAGAGCTCAGTTCTTGTGCTGTCCATCCTGCGCCTTCTCCGTCCGAGCAGATTTCATTGAGTAGGTAATCGATCACCAGACGCAAGGAACGTGACCTTATCAGCTTCTCGACTTGTTTCCGAGCGGTACTAAATCACGACACGTGCAATGCTCGGTGATTAAGTGCCAATCGCCGAACTCACAGCGACTGTCTCACATCTTCAAAGTAGTATTGATGTACTGCATTGTTGTGGGTATGGTTGCACCGTTTCCAAATTTGCGTTGACTTAATCACTCGCTGTACACTTTCCCACGTATAATTTGTCTTCGAGCAGTTCAAAATGAGAAAACATGTCATGCGGCACTTCTGATCCTACCTCAGAGCTTTTCTAGATATCGCTGAACATATCGGCTTTCCGAATCAGCAGATGATGTCGCAGGGCCGTTCACATGATTTTCTGGTTATTGATCACCATTCTGATCCCTGTGGACAATGTAAACACCACAAGCAGAGCGCAGCAAAGTATAAAGAGAACGAATGCCATCCTGAAACGTAGTCACATGATGCTTATTTTCCTCCGTCTATGATGAGGTTATTTGCTAATTTGAATAAACCATGTAGATAGTGACCAAAGACTTCATTTGCGGGTTCAATACAAGCGTACTCTTCAATCAAAGTATCTCGTCCTCTTAGTTGGGTCACCCCATGCTGAAAGGCCGAAAGGCATTATACGCCTGTTTCATTCTGATTGGAATTCATCATCGCATCTCACTAAACCCCGAGGTGATTCGAACCGGCGATTTCCCAGCCAATAGTCGAGGAGCCGCTAGTCAGCAATGTAACTCGTATTGAAACGCCATATCACCACCCTGTCTTACGTCACGAAATTCACATCAAATTGACCGGCTCCTCGAATGATGGAAGATTCACTCGTCGTGCAAATCCTTCATCCTTGTGAGATACCGAGGTTCGACCAATTTTATACCAATTTTTATCAAGTCACGATTTGCATTCATTGCCGACATACAAAAAGCATCCTCACCCTCACCAAACACATGAGTACTTGTAAATCAGAGGTAAACATCAGTATCCCATCGCCACACTACCACATACGAACAACAACTATGGGAATAACAAGGTACCTATGTCTCCTGATCGGTACTTCATTCACTGTTGGGGTGTATTGACTTGGGTTTGATAACCATTACGGCATTCAGATGTACATCCACATGATAGTAATAATCGGTACCAGTTATAACAGGAGCGATTTGTTACATATGTATATTCCCCCGTATAAGAAAATCCGTCTCCGTACACTGAAATTTGGTGTAGTTGTGGAATTAGTAGGACACATAAAGTCGTCAGACTTCAGTAACATCTAATCAAGTGGAGTCAAGCGTAAGGGTTTAGAGCTCAGCTGGAATGTTTTACTCCGGTGTGGTATGGTATTCTTTCGTGTCTCGCCGGTTGTGCGAACGTACGGGCTCACGGATGCGAAAGTGCTTCTATCAGTGACCTCATCACGATGACAATGGAGCTCGAACAAACGGTGATATCTTGTTTAATAAACCATCCGGAGAGCCTAAAATCGGGACGCTAATGAGGTTATACCTAGCCCGCATTCAGTTTCTTCTGAAAATTCCTGAAAATGACTGTCCACGGTATCCAAAACGCCTGATTGCAACATATTCCACCGCACTGTGTTCCGTTTTTAAGCTCCATGTTACAATCCACGTTCATCTGTGTTGTTCTATACGAGATGAGCCGAGCCACGTCCGGACCTTCAATTATGGTGTCTATACTCATTTACCTCCTCTGCAGCATGAAATTATGCGCCACCCTTCCTTCATTAGGAAAATCAGTGAGTAACTACCACGGATTTCCGACTTATTCTGTTACTATCTTCTTCGCGATTTGTCTTCGCATCCAATTACTCGCGAGTTTCTCATGCCACTGACGGTCTGCAGCAATTACGATTCCCCGTCCACTTGGGAATTGGCCTAGTAACGTAGTACCATAAGCCTGAGATGAGGACACTGTACGTTTATTGCTCACTCTTACGAACTTTTTCAGCATTCATCTAGCAGAAGTTCATATTCCGAATTTCAACTCTGTAGCCCAAAAAACATTCTCGGCTACTTTACAAGCATTACTACAAGAGGGGTGCTTATTCGTATACTTCTGCCACCCATTTGTAATGTTGCAAATGCCAGCGGACTGAAACTACGGTTTACTTATCCGAACCTCTTGGACCTGTGTTTCTAGATGTGACCCAACCAGAACAGCACACTAGGTTTACAACTCTATACGAAACAAATAGGATGGATACTGCTAATTAGTTTTGCCTAGATATATTCAACACTAAACTTGCACATTGGTTTCACCCCCTTGTGATATCGCAGAACACTGTTACAGCTTTCTCTGTGGCAAGACTGTATCTTCCAGCTTACTCCATTCTATCCGGCTTCGGAGGATGAGGCAGTGATATTGGCTTGTGTTATGAAAATCCTACGTGTTCTTCTGTTCCACGCTATCCGTTATGAACGTGACGGATGGCGTGTATGGATCGATACATTGGCTTTGCTTCACTTGTGGCTGGAAAAGACGAACAAACAGGTGGATCTTGTAGACGAGGTGAGCGTTCAAGCATTGCGATACATCAATAATAATAATAATAATAATAATAATAATAATAATAATAATAATAATAATAATAATAATATAGTCGTTCAGCTGTAACATTCTTTCAGTACCTAGCTGCCATAACAAGTGATAGATTGCTTCGCACCCTTCGAACAAATATTCCCACCGAGTAGACCGCCTCGCACTGAATTTTTCCTCGTTGTACGCTCATTCGATGAAGTAATCTTGGAACCGAAGTGGAGGCATTTTCTTATTTCCGTAACAGTTAATTTCCTTCCCGCCCTGAAAAAAAACAATGAAACTGTACCATGTCGTTTACTTTATTTTAAATGTAGACTATCACTTGAATCACTGCATGACAAAGGCTCTACAGATACACTAACCTGCCAAATCAGTGAGCTATTCTTGACAATTTGACGCTGAAAGTCTACCTATTGAGTGGTTTCGTAAAGGCGTCGATCGAAGGTGATAGAACCGGGTTAGTAATACACCCAAAATCACTAGTTACCAGCAATTAACATTGCTTTCAAGAATGTGTCTTCATCTTTTTGGTGGCTGTTATTCGATTGGAGGAAAACTGCTAGTTCATGTCGACCAGTTTAATCGGGATGGTTTTTTATTCCCGTACAGGTGCGTGTTTCACCAATGAAGTGCAGTACTGTTGAATATATGTTTTATCCACATCGGACAAAATAGAATGATGTTGAAAATATCCGGATACAAGTGGTGTTTTATTACCCCAGTGAAGAAGGCGTGCGATACCATTCTCGTTGGCTACCCAGAAGGAAGCAACCACATAAGGAGATATTGCCGAACATCTCTGAGGTGTATCCTTGTGGGAGATTACCATACAATACTTCTTTGTTTCTACGTGTCCCCGGTATTGTAGATCTTGGTGATCATTTTTGGTAGCGATTTCAGTTCTTTTGGGAGCTAATGCAGTAAGTAATTCATCCGTCGATCGCGGTCCACGCCATTGCCGTAAATGCCAATAATAAAATCCCGCTTACGAGGTAGCCGAATATTACTTCACCTCTGTTTACATCAAGTAGCCGCGCGATGTAGTGTCCCCACTAGGTCTTGTTTGGCTTTTTCTTCTGTTTAGATCGGTTCTAAGCAGCTTGGCCTACTGGTTTCTGTACTTTTCATCTTCCCCCTAGCTTACATCCACGGAGAAAACTTCTAAAAGATTGGTTGGAACCGCAGCTTCCGATGCAGCCTCGACTGATGCTGGACTGGACTTAGCTAATCCGACTGCTCGCCAAGTGATTAATCAGCTAGCTACATCTGGTGCCTCCGAGGTTTCACAATCATCTTCTGTGTCAAACTCATCTCCTCCATCTCTGAATGGTTCTTTGGCACATGACGATGGGGAACTGAAACGCCCCGAACAACAATCGCGTACACGTAGGTCCTGTTCTGAAAGATTTATTCTTCATACATGCGTCCTTCACCTGTGCGTATCTACCTTTTAGTAGCTTACTAACCGACAGATTTCGTGCTGCTTCCGAATACCTACTTTCAGACCACTTCCTTCTGGAGGGTCATGTTGTTTGCATGATATTTCATGAAAAGCTGCGAAGAGGTAGCATTGCCGTTAGATGAGGATGCATAACATCCTGTCGTTTATTTAGCTCCCGGTTCTTTAAGTCGTGTTGTGATCACTTAAGCAGTGAGAACCGTTATGGTCACTTTTCGATTCGAATGAACTGAACTTAAGTGATCAGTTTATTCGTATTTGCCGTGCTCACAGGTGTCTCCAACCCCTGAGTGGTGTCTAATTCAAGCGTGTATGGCGGTTGGGCCACCCAATGGACCTCGATAATGACCAAGCAGATCATTCATTGTCATCTGCAATTTTTTTGGCTAAATATATCGGCTTATTTTTCGACTTTGCTCTCAGTGAACCTTCGGAGGGTAGGCTTTATACTGAGTGACCGATTTCGTTCACGTCACTAGCTTAAACGGTCTTCCTGCTGTCGAGATATATACTCAAACGCGTTTTCCTCCCATTACAACCCTTTTCGGAGTGAATACCCTCGGTCGCACCTGGGTTTAAACTCCAAAAACAAAATGAAACTATTACTATGCCGTGCGCGGAGTTTGATCAACTATAGTATATATAGCATGTATTCACAGTATAGTTTTTTACGAACTTAACTGGTGTGTGTAATCTGCTCAGCGATCCACTAGCTCTCCTGATTGGCGCAACCGAGACGACTCTCCTGTCAGGTAGGAAGCAATAAAACTCAGAGACCACACAGTTACGAGCGGACTAAAACTGCCATTCGGATGCGACTACCTGTTTGAACGAGACATGTGCACTGATTATACGCCCCCCATTGGTTGAAGGTGAAATCCCACTAACGGTAAGAATATTCAGAACTGTTGAAGATTTAGTCAAATTGAGGGCCGAGTTTCGGATGAATTAACAAGGACGATTGCGCCAGGATTGTGTATGGTCTGTTCGGATACGAGTTCCCTGAACGGCTTTTCAGTGAACTGCACTTATATCCACAAACCCTATTGTCGTAGATATACTCTTCTGTGCTCAAATGTCCCAACTTTCAACTATCTATATTTATTTATGCGTACAGTTTTCGTTTTCTTCCCACGCACCTTTGTAGAGTATTGAGTTGAAAACTGTCACGTTTTGTTTAGTGGATCCTCCATATTCAATGATTATGTTGATAAAATGGGACGTTTAGATCTACCGCATACAGATTATCAATTGTGTGCAATATAGTTGGGACTTCTTAATATCTTTGTCATATAAGCTGGTTAGTTACCCCGGAAATCTAATTCCAGACTGGGATTTAGCTCACTGTCACTTCCTCTTATTTATTTGCTGTGCATCATTTCGGTAACCACGATATCCTATCGTTTAAATCTAGTTGATCTCCCACAAACCCCGAATTCATCGAAACCGCGAAAATCTGTGACCGAGCGTTTTCTGGGTCCGTTCAGGTGGTCCCACTTGCATCAGTTACTCTTGGATGATCTCCTGAGTTCGATTGAAGAGGAATTGGGGTGAGTGTTTGATCACGGGAGTAGCTTTTTCAATGGGTGTGTTGTAAATTTTGAGGTACTAGCTAGCAGTTTCATTGGAAAGGCATAGGCACACAACTGACTGACCTGCTTCAGAATCACCATCCGTGACCTCATCTGCGTGGTCCTGGTTGTTCCTGTCTTACAGTCCATGAAATAAAAACCAATTGACCCCCACTCTCTGTGTGCCTATTTCCATGATTAGCTGTGATGGTTAAGGTTGGGTTACTCTCATGCAGCGCTTGCTTCACAGACTTTGACATTTCCCAAAAAGACTGAGAGACATTGAGTACTTGCGATTGGTGTACTGACTTTTTGGGCGTTATTTTGGCGCAGCTTCGGCGATGACAACTGACATCTCGGGTGGACGTTGTCCCATGAAATTTCCGTTAATGCTAGTGAATCCCACCGTTTAGCGTATTCAGCCAACTTCGGCATCATCTGCCATCTTTCCTTTCTGTCTGCAGCTTAGTTTCATCAAAAAATGTGCCATATCAAGATGGTTATTCAATCAACCCAGTACGGTCCCCAAAGCACGGATTCACGGGCGACGATCAATCCCCCTCGTCCTTTGCGGGTGAATTCATTGGAGTATCTTTGGATGCGACAGATAGTGGCGCTCAACTGGAAAATCGTGCGTTAACCGTTCTACACGACCCGCCGAATAACTCGTTTGCTATTAACCTTATCAACGTTCTCGCTGATTGTACTGATGTTCTAGTGAGTGCCAGTGGTGGCCTTCTACCTCTGTTGGCTGCAGCCACTTCACCTACGGTATGTCCATCGTTCTCATGCTTCAATCGTTGAAACACATTGGTTGTAATTAGTGGTCCTGATAACTTGTCCACACCGACCACTAGAACGTCCGAATGCTTTTCCACTTAGGCGTAAAACTTAGTCTGCTCACTCATGTAGATAGTCTGTCAGAATGTCTCACCTAGTTGTTTGTTCAACGCGAATACACCAACTTGATTGTTCCCAGTAAAGACGAAAAACCTTACGCAACTGAGTTTTTCGTGATCCGACCACTTACCTTCTGCTATCATTTTTTTGCCTTTCAACTACGGAGCCTCCTTCCTTGCCTTCTCTGTAGTCCGGCGAAAGTTGTGCAAATGTGAGTTCCTCGATATCCCGGTTATCACGTCACTGCAGTGGCGGACCTGTGCGCTGCTACCACAGAAGAAACCATTGCTCAGGTCCGTCCAGCAGTCTAAGCTCATCGACACCTCACTGTGGATACTAACGGATCTTGAACGGTCGTACTCCTCATCGACGCACTATCCAACCTACGGTTCGTTGCGATCAAGGCCATTGGCAGGGACGCTGTGGCCTACCTGCATTGTGCGCTAACGGTACAACAACAGCCGTTGAGTAGTAACACACATTGTGTGTAAACACGGTACTGCGTTTGAGAATCATTTGTAGCACAATACTATTCTCATATAATACTATCCGCTAGGGCCTACTTGCACTTGATATCACTGCTTGGATCCCACGTCCTCGGAGGTATCCCACCGGACAGTTTTACTGGAACCATTCTCCCTGTTTAAATAGCGGAAATCGGTCGGAATGTGCACCCTACACATCTTCAATAACCATGTCCCTTTTTTCAGGAATCACCGTGTAGGATTGAGTGATAATCCACAGATTTGCCGCGTGCTTGAAACCCTCAATGGCCAGCAGAACGGGGGCTTCGAGCGAGGCAAATCTTAGTATCCAGCCATGCACCTCTTTGTAACCTGACCAAAGCTAATGACTTTAAAGTGCGGGAGACTAGCCTTATTAGCTCTGAAAGAAGTTCACATCCTACACACTCCTTGGCCCGTCTTTCATCAGATGGAAGTATCGAAATTGTACTGATCCGGTCCGCAATTATCCGTGGGTTATCATAGCCGTAGTGTGGCTCCTCAGTTCTTATTCTCTTGTTGGCGATATCGTTTGTTTAGAAAACCTTTTCTATGAAATTTTTTAAACATTCATTATCATGTGAGCTACCATTCGAAGACTCGTGCTTCCACTGGCTTATTAGTAGTTTCTTCTTCTGTTTTCCAGGGTGAGGTTGGTGTTTTCGAGTCGGTCGATAGTATCTCCATGAGTGACAGCATGACGTTCATCCTTCGAACAGCCTTCATAGTTGATCTATGTCTTTTGCACACCGACTTGGGGATTGTGGAAAAGCAGCGAAACATGGCATCTGGATCTATCGTGCGCCAATTTGCAAGGCTTTGTAAGTAGAAGTGCATGCGAAGTCCTTATTAACGAAACATGGTGTACTCAATGGGGTTTCGTAGCTTGTTTTTTTAGCTGGTAGTTACTCCGTCCTTTATTCTGTTTCTCTAATGGCTTGGCAGGAGTGGATCCATTGACTTGATTAAACTATTATACCGCACCTTTCCTGGCTGTCCCGCAATCATCTTTAAATATCATTTCATGTCTGGGACCAAAACAGCGAGAGTTGTGAAAGTAGGTAACGGAAAAGCGCTTCAAAAAACCCAGGTACATTCGTTCGTAAATTAAGTTTGCTCCATGGTGAGACCCAACGGAATTCCTCTTTTATAATATTCTCAAAACCTACTTTTACAGCGTAGCGCCGCCACCATTGACGCCAGTCTACGTCCTTTATTTGTTTCTCTAATGGCTTGGCAGGAGTGGATCCGTTGACTTGATTAAACTATCATACCGCACCTTTCCTGGCTGTCCCGCAATCATCTTTAAATATCATTTCATGTCTGGGACCAAAACAGCGAGAGTTGTGAAAGTAGGTAACGGAAAAGCGCTTCAAAAAACCCAGGTACATTCGTTCGTAAATTAAGTTTGCTCCATGGTGAGACCCAACGGAATTCCTCTTTTATAATATTCTCAAAACCTACTTTTACAGCGTAGCGCCGCCACCATTGACGCCAGTCTACCAAAGAGACTGCTATAACATAGAAAGTATCTGGTACCGAAATTTGTGGATAAACTTTGAATATACTGAACTGTCGCCTTAGATAACCATTTTCTGGGTTCTTCAACGTTCTTTTCTTTGTACCAGTGTCCTATCATGTCTGGAACCACATCATGACTTTAATTGGATGCAGAGAAACCAAAGTCATCTGAGTTTGAGTCTTTCAATTTACTCGAGAGTCTCGCATAAAACATCCCTGTACATATTGACCATTATGGAGAACGTTACGCGCGTGGAATGCAGTAGGAAATCATTACCTCTAGAAACTGGTTAGAATAATTTTGTATGTCAAAAAATATTGGATTGTTCCGAGTTTCTCGGTTTTTGCCACAAGCCGCTACCTACAAACCTTCCGCCTGAACCAGAATGAAACGCTTCGTGCACTATCGTTGGTTTGGGCCACCAGGTTGTTATCACCGATGGTGTAAGCCGGCCGATCGATGGTCACACGTGGACAAAGTCTAGCTCCGTTCGCTTGTTTTTCACTTTTTTTCCAAAACACTGTATTGCCCATTAACATAGCCATTTTCGGCTTCACTGTTCCTGTGATTTGTGTTTTCCTGGCAGATCTCACTGCGACCGTTCGAAACTGTTTGGAATCACGATTTCTCCACCTGCAGCCGTCACATCAATTGGTCCTTCAACTTAAGTCTTTCACTTTTGACCGGGACACTACACGATTTGTCTCGTTAACTGCCAATGATGCAGAACCATTCTCACTGAAACATGTCAAAACGCGTTCGGAATCTCGCAGTTCGACTGGATCCACTGAAACGGATTCCACTGGCGAACATACCATCACTCACCGGTTCCAATGTTCACAACTTCTTGCAAATATTCTCCAACCGGCATTTGAAATTGAGCTAGAAAGCATGGCTGTTCGTCTACTTTGCTTGACACAGTTGGTGGAAACACATGCCCTGCGATCGAATTCACGTCTTGGTTTCTGTGCTTTCCCCTGGCGGTCTATCACCTCTCTGTCGACGCACCAACTTTATCGACTTCACGAACTAAAACAGCAACATGACGCGAAGATTGTCCACATGCCTAAGGAAATTCAGCGTTTAGTGTATTCGCTACGTCCTACACTGAATTATCCAGTGGTACTAGTGAGTTTAAGACTATCAACGTTCGTGTCTCGAATTTCTTCGTATTCTTTTGTTTTGTTCACTGTAGGTCAAAGAAAGAATTTTTCTATTGACGTTGATTAGGCGCTACGCGGAAACTATCGAAAAATTTCTGTTCTCGTAGTCTGTATTTGTTGCTTTTTTTGTGAATAGGCGTCAGAATTCATTCCATTTAGTAGTATCTAGAGCCATGCCGGGAATGGGGCTACCTGCATATTTCCCATCAGAAGTTTTCCCATTTTGATGAAAAAGTGAGCTTGTTGATGAGACCGCCCTTATTGCCTGAATGATCTCAGTCTCTGAATCACCGTGGATGACTAATCAAAGTGTTCGCTAGTGGTACTCTTCTGCTTCCGATCCACTGAACAGAACTGGCTATTACCGTGCACAAGTACTAGGTGCGGCACGCTGTGCAGTAGCTAAGCTGGCATAGCTCCCGTTTGATTCCGGTTTGATTTTCCTCCGTCGTATTATGTTGCTTAAGCCTAATACTTTAAAATTACTTCCCTTCCCAACTGGAGTGGTGTTTCCGTTGAATTTTCGTCTGTTATGCTTTGAGGTTGATCAAGTGGTGGGATTATTCAGGTTGTCATTGAACATTACAGGGATTAGTGACGTACGAATTCATTCTTGCTGTGGACTCGTTCGCTTTCAGATGCTGCTTCACCAAGGATTGCTGCATAAGCTTTAAACAATTTCAATTGTTGGGGGCTCCCACATCGATTACTTTCGGGTCATACAATTTAGCAAGGTATCTTACCTTCTCTTTGAAGCATATTACCGTATTGGGCTCCGTCGAAGCTCTCCTGTCAGTCAACTAAGAGCTCCTTTTCAATCACCAATGTGATTGGCTTCAACTCTTCCTCGGTCTATCATGCTGGGATTTGTTATAAGTATTCTGCTTACTGTCATGTGGGGAATCCATCGGTAACTATCGCCCTTTTGTAACACATGCGACCCCTGTGGTGGAAATGTTGAATCGCGCTGGATGACTGGAAAAGATGTACGAGATTATACTCTTTACCATTACATCAGTACAACAGTCCGGAGTCATTTCCGATCTATTCAAACAAAGCACTTGGTACAAAGCTCCCCCAACTAGATGACCCCCTTTACATTTGATCTCTAACTGAGTTTTCAGGCTCCCACTACATACTTTGACGGATCCCTGTATTTGACCTGGCATCCGACAAATACCAAGCAGCGTGTGTTGGCAACTTTTCTCGCACGTTTTCACGTCTTGCCTGGAATTTAACCCATTGTATTCATTTTTGTGCATCCTTTCAGGATCAATCTTTTCTCAAAGCACCCATTGTACTCATTTTTGCACATCCTTTCAGGATCAATCTTTTCTCAAAGGTGTAATTCAACCACTCCACGAACCTCAGAGTTTGCTACAACCACGTGATCTGAATCGTCTTCAGGGCATCATTTTCAAGAGTGAGGTAAGCCTCCTCGGTTTATTTTAGGCCCCTGATTAGAGTACCGGTTTTACATTTCATTTTATCCTATAGAACAGTAGGTAGAAGTAGGTAGGGAGTAAGTACAGGTTAACCTGACCCGCTTGGTAGGTCGCTTTACCCAACCCAACCTTAATGTGATATCTGTGGATAAAGGAAACCCAGTCAAAAGTTATTTTAATGCAGTCGCTCATCCTGTGTATTGCCACTCTCTCCTCAGGAAATGAACAAAGTGCCAGAATTCCTGGCCATGGCGATTGCGTACTTCGTGTCCGCCCTCATGGTTGCCAAATATCGTGATGTGTTGGAACCGAATTTGGACGTCTTTGGCGCTGTTCCCTCTGACCGGTTTGCTTCCACACAGTCATCCGAAAACTCTCGACACCCTTCAGCGCCAAATGACGTGGCCTCTGTCCCTAACACGTACGATGTCGAAACTAACAATAATCAGTCCATCCCGGACACGACTACAACCGAAGTTGATGAATCGGAAGATGGTAATCAAGATAAGATTGCTTTTACAGCACCTTTTCTCTCCTCTTCATGATCCATTGATTCCTAAAAGGGTTGCGAGATGTAGTGAGCCGATTTTTTTGTCCTATCGTCTCTAACTCGGTAGCAAGGGAAGATTTACCTCTCTTTATTCGGTTTACTTCCGCCCGAATTTCTCTCTCAACTGCGTCTGAGGTTCGGATAGTGAGGGCGATATTTGCTCAGCTGGAGCAGTATGTTCTGCACTGCTTTTATCACTGAGCTTGTTCTCACCTTTTTTTCAGATGCTACTTACTCGACACAAAAGACAACGAGCGATAATATATCCCAAGATACGACCAGCACTCACTCGAGCCGTGGGGAGGATGTGTTGATATCCAAACTAAATACGGTTCTCACTTCGGCTGCCGTCTTTCTTCGTGATCTGTTGACAGATTTTTTCAATCACTTCTCGAAGCAGTTACTTGGATCTCACGGTCAAACTCTGCTCACCACCGGATTGTCGAGCATACGAGAGGATCAGTCGGCTGTCGGTCTCGTTATGTTGCTGTGCTCACAGGTAAGTTTAGAACCTGCTTCGATTTTGCTGGACTACTACTATCATTTATTTCTGAACAGCATGGTCACAAACATAAAAAGTGAGTGCAAGCGATGAATGCGAAAGAGTAACAGGATAATATGGGAGAGAAGAGAGAAAAGTCTCATTCGAAATCATACCAACAGTTCCAGTCTGATGAGATGAATCCCAAAGTATGTGAAGATTTTGATATGGAAACACGCGTCTAAAGACAACAACCGAAGAAAGGACAAACAATGGTGAATTCTCTTTAAGGCGCGGTAGGCGCTAGCATAGTCAAGACTCGCACCTCAGGCACAAAGTGTCCGTCATACTAGGTCTGGTGTGAGATTAAGTGGCAAAAATGTACCTTCAACGCCATGTGCCATGCATAAAAGTGTCATAAGTACGCAGAGAGCCCACAATGGCAAGCAAACACAACTTACTGACTGCGACCTAAGGAAGTCCCAGTCCAATAACAGCCTTAGCGGATTGAGGAAAGCAGATCCCTCGATAAGAGATTATCATCGGTTGTTGAACCAAAAAATCGAAAAGTCAACCGATTGCATGTAGGGCTGAGATTATGGCGATGGAATATTCATCAGCACCATACTTCTGCTTCTTCTCATTCCACCCAGTCACTCCGCGTCATCATTAGAAGCAGCTACACTTAGTTTCGCTGATGGTAGACTGTATGACTGTGTCACACACCTGTTTTTATTATGATTGGTATTTTCGATCGATTGCTCTCATATGCACCGATCTGAATGTTTGATTGCCACGACCTAGCGGGAAGTATCATTCCCTGTTGTGACCACTCAGTGGAGTGGATCTTCACACGTTTTGTACGATTAGCACTAATCCATCTCAAGTTCTGCACTTTTTGAGATGTCATCCTAATAAAGCTTCGAGCAACTGTTTGTGGATGAGCTAACTGTATATGAATTCACACTCTGGTTAACGGATAAGTCTACGTTATCCTAAGAGATTGGTACCTTCTTTCATGCTCGTTCGTGCGAATGTTCAAGGTTTCCCAGCGCTTTGACAGCGATGGCCAAGCGAAATCCGTCTACAACCTCTCTCCAGCACATGGGAATCCAACTACCTGTGGGACGATAATGCATACAAAAATGTATACGGTAACTAGAGAAATGAAATGGGGGAAGCGTGCGTTGCCGTTTTCTGCATCTGAATTCTCGATCTGGAGATCCAGGCCGATCACATCCATTTTGTCCGCTGGTGACCTCCCTAACGTTATTACCCTGGTCACGCTGTCCAAGTAAGCAAAGCGAAATTGCAAAAACGAACAACCTGTGACACCACTGGCTTTGCTTTTAATCAACTCAAAGTCTTTATGGAATCACAAACTCTTTTGAATTGAATGATTTCCGCAGTTCCTACCACTCATTTTCAACATACGTACTCTGATGTGTGATCCAAGGTTGTTCTCCCTCCCAAGTTATCTGGCTTCCATTCTTCCGTGTAAGTACGCAGAACTCCTCGTTACATTCTATTTCAACACCCGGATGGGGACACAATAAACCTTTGAAGTGTTTATGAGTTTAGATTGACGGACATTGCACGCAGGCGTTCGGAGAACAGTTAGACGGTCAGTTAGGCAAAAACCTCGACCACATAGTGAGTAAAATGAATACCTCATGCCTCATACGAAATGAAACTTTGTATATTAGAAGCTTGAGTCTGCGAATTGACGCCCTTCCCCCACCCGTTCTTCCGAAAACCTGAGTTTAGTTTAGGAATCATTGATCTAGTGTTAGAAGAGGTAACAGTTGTCCCTGAATAGGGGACGGAAACAACAAGGGGCAACTTTGATAAACGGACCACCAGTGTGTTGGCCAACAAACCCAGTAAAACAACTTGCGTATTCCATCTCAACGACCTCATGATTCTGGGTTGGGTTGGGTAGTGTAGCCACGTCCATCGAGCCGATTAACCTATAGCTTATATGAAACGTGGTCTGGCTGAGCACTTTTGGAAACCGATCACCTGCTTTTTTACATACAGTAACAACAGCCATCCCCTCCAAGATGCGGCAGGTAGTAGTTGTCAACACGCGTAACGGAGTCAAATTCTGGTCATCGATTCTTGTAAATCATGTGCCATTTACTCCTCACGAATACTGTTCGTATAACATTGAGTGTAGCTAAATATAATTGCTTACTTTGAAGATCAATCCATCACTCCACTGTCACCATATGAACTATTAAAATTTCTTAACGAACCTCCGGTGATTTCATTCAGACTCCACATCGACACTTGGAACACTTTCCATGAAAGCGTTATGTGCTGTTTTCAACAGCTCTGAATTTCATTCCTTCATAATCACTTTCCCCTTCTGCTTTTCAGGAATGGCAAACCTCATTGCAAAAGAATGCCGGATTGGCCTTCATTGAACTAATTAACGAAGGGCGCGTGCTTAATGCCGCTACGCGCGAGCATTTACTACGCGTCAGTGAAGAGGCAGTCTTTCTGCTTTGTCGTCTTGCTACGACTGACACGAGATATCATGCACAGTTTTGTGAGCTCGCCGCGCGTTGGTCTGCCCACAGTAAGGAGGAGATGCGTCTGTGCGATCATCTGATTAGTGCGGCTCGACGGCGAGACCAGTTGTCAGCGTTGTTTCTTAACAATAATGTCCACCGCTTGTTAAATCAACTTCTCAGCAACTGGGCATTCTTTGTGCAGTTGCCGACTGAGTTGGCTGTAGGAATTCGAAATAACCAAAGGTGAGTATACTTCTGGCTTCATTCACCCATTTTTTACTTACATACAGGAGGAATCCAAATTTCTTACAGCAGTCAGTTTATAGCACGCGAAAAACCAATAAGACTGTCCGTTTTTTCGATCTACTCTGCTTCCAACAGATCAAAACCATTTCGATTTTCACCACCCACCAAAAATTTCAGTTTCCCACCGCGTCTTTAGATTAATGCGACTCATTTGTCGCAAGTAGGTGCTCAGTATTCGCACGATGGAATCGAATTTTCGAAAGGCACGACGTGTCCCTGATGGACTAAATCAGACAGGCAATTGAGTTCAGAGTGCCGTCCAAACTTTTGTGCCCCATCTAGGCATCCCAGGGTCCCAGCGATGCTAGGAAAGTATTCCACCATATTTTTTTCCGCCAGAGGTATGATTGCTTGGCTGGACAATTGCATCTGGTGAGCTGCGAAGATATGAACGTAGAATAGGGTGGTTTTTGGTTCGAGCACATGCGCAACTAAACGCTTCATTTTGGCCCAAAACGTTTGGCAGCTAAAAGCATTGTGCGGCCAAAGATCCTCCGCAAAAAATGTTCAGGGAATGCTAATACTCCTCGGTTCGTATCAAGCTACGTACACAAACAAGTTTCATGGCATGTACTATCACTGAAATACTAGACAAATGCGGGATTTTCGCCCACAAAATTGTTGTCTTCAATCCGTCCACGGTATCGAAGATCCTTGTTCAGTTTTGTCCAGAAATTATTCTTAGGTCGCACCAATTTCCGAGATATCAGCAATTGTTAAGCAGTATGGAGGTAAAAGTGTAAGCACGGCCCTTTAAAATTGACGAAATTCGTTTCTGATGCCACAGATGAGACGAGTCGGCGAACAACAGAAATGTATCGTCTACATAATCCAGACAATACATAGACTAATGATTCCTCAGAATGTGCATTCCATGACCACGTCGATGACAAAAACTGGACAACATAAAGGGGCAACATTTTTGACGAACTTCGCTAGTTTTCGGTAGGCTTTTGGACCATTCATTGAGCACTTTAACTGGATTGGTGGTATGGAGACACAGAGGGAAATAGTGCGAACAGCAAGAACATTCCCCCAAAGCCCCCTCCCAACCACATAGTCGAGAAAAGTCGGTCGGCGGTATCTGTTCCGCTACTCAAGCACTTGACAGAAGTCTGGTGACACTGCAAGGGTATATGAGCACTTCAGAGACTGGTAGAAAGTCTAAACTCACAGACTACGGCTCGAAATAAGCTACCCGAATGAGTGAGCAGAGGCACGAGGCCATCTAAAACTACTCCACCCATTAGGCTTCCAATATTGTTGTTGATGGACTGTCAGAAGGCCTAAAAGAGTTTCCGTGCATTCCCAATCTCATTGAACTCTATTTTTTGAACTTTCTGTTCCCACTACATCTTTTTGTCTTCACGCAGACCACGTTTGAGCTGTTGTCTAATAAGCCCACCAGCCAGATGGTAATGTGGGCCTAAAGGGTAGGGATTATCGAGGAGCGCTAGCGTTCTGTATTCAGTGGCTTCCGTGTACTCTATCTGAAACTTCACAAGCAGAGTCCAGGGTGTCACGTGTTGCCAAGGTTATCTTATCACAGTTGTCTTTAACGCGGAGCACCTCATATCACTTACTGGACAGGCCCGACGCCCATAGCTAAATCGAGGGTTTTTATGAGGTGAAAATGCTCGGCATCTAGAACTTTCATTTCACTCTGCCAACGAATTTTTTGGCTCCTTATAATCACACTCTAACAAACTGGCTAGACAGTTGTTCACCTTGTGGTTGGGCGAGCGACTCCGGTTCTACTGCATATTCTGCTTATTTCAGCGTCACTGTAGGCGCACCCACCACCTGCACTGATGGTGTTCATGCCATTCTTTTGTTGACCAGAGTGCTATTTTGTCTCTTTTGAGTGGATAGCCCACTGACGAGAGTCCTTTAAGATCGAAACTATCGAAGTCATGAACTTGGAATATCGCTGTTGAAATCCGTGAGCATCGTGCATGATGGTCAATAATAGATTGGCAAATTTCGTGCCTTTGCAGCTCCAATAGTGATGTATGCAACTCCTTTTAGCATCTGGCTACCCTGAGGTGAATGAGAGCGCAAAAAACGGTAGCCGGAATAGCCTTTCACATGCCGCAATACCTGTTTTTTTTTACGACCGAAGAAGCACCATACCCCATCTGACCTCGAACTTACCTTGGCACATTCTTTCAATCCGTTCAATCAAAAACCTCGTTTTTAGCTGTGGTACTCGGTTTTTTCTTTGGCTCGCACAGAATCCACGTCTGGTAAATTCGTCGTGCGCATGTAGGTGGATTTTTGAGTTTTACTCATTTCTGCTTCTGCTCTGTTTCTGCCGTTGGATTCAGTCACTTGGTACATTCTATCCATCTTTCACTGATAGCCCATATAAACGAAGTCCAGTCACTAAAGAATTTTATCTTCTCGATTGCTGGGAGGATGACAGTCGCAGACGACGTCGCTTCTCACCCAACCCTTACGGAAGTAGTCATGCTTCGGCAGTGCTCTATGATGTGCACCCTTCAATCCAGCCAAAGGCCCAGCCTAAACCTCAACTGGAAGCAGTCTTAAAATCTTCTCTCGCTCATTCTGATATTCTGGATCAGTCTACGGAAGATATAGAAGACAATTCACATGCGTCATCCACCCCGGATTCCTTGTCTGGACAAACAGAAACTCGAGGTTCGGAGCTAGAAGATATTTTCAGTCAGTATGAAGAAATCACCGAATCCATGGATTTTGTCGTGTTTCCTGAAGGTTCGTTTTAGCACTTTAACTGTGTTCGTCCTCGAATCCTTTACGTTACTTATTGCATCTAGTATAGCAACTACGTAGAAAATATTTCCGGTTCGTTGTCGATTATAGCGCTGTGTTGTTTGTCCGTCGATACTTCCCAAGCTGAAATCATTTAAAGCTCTTGAAAAATTCACTTCGTTGTCATCACATGCCCTTCAGTTTTCATGTCCTACTTTACTCGTCCTGAATTCTCGGGAGGGCGAATCAGTTTGGACACAAACTAGTGTATGCGATATGCCGGTCACTTTAGAGCATCGTAACACCCTGGATGATTACACAAAATTCATTAAAGTGAGCCTGTGGTTTCTGGGTGCTTTGGATAGCACACTGTGTACGCCTTCATGGTCGTCATCCCGGTAACCTAATGCTTGAGTTAGTGCTATAAAAATTTTATTTTAGAGAGTCCTGTATTGAAACGACGATTCGCAGTATGACTTATTCTGCTTCGGTATTCTCCGATGCTGCCATAGGTCGCATAAACTTGGTTGTTCTGATAATTTTTATCTTACTGTTCACAATGACCGTGTATTTCGGCTCGTGTCCAGAGAACTCTTGTCCGAGTTTTTCCAATTCACCTTTGTCCCACTTCCATCGTTCGTGCTTATCAGTTTGGATTGTTGTATCTAGGTGATACGGTATTCCCTCCCTGGATAAAAAAAAATCAGAAAATAAACGTTCTTATCGAAGAGACAATTTCAGAGGCACGGGGTTTTACTCTGCAATCCTCAGGAGCCAAGCAGGACGGCACACCTCTTGATCTCCTCTAAGAGAAAAACCTTGAAGTCCTATAAAATCGTTTCCAAGTTATTGAGGGACTGTATTATCAGCACACTAGCCCACATTAGTCAGATTTTTTCGACTGAATTGATAAATTAGCCTTGTATAGGCACAGCGCTTTTTGTCATTCCGATTGGTGGTGATGACGTTTTGAAGAGTAGGGTGAAACAGTGCATACCAGCTTTTGAAGATTCTGTTATCTCTCAAAGTAGTTGGTTAGTTACGAGACATCTTCCGCATGAGTCCACTGGTCCGTCTTCCATTAGTGCTACATTGTTAGCTATATTGTGTCAATGAAGGATATGCAAATTTATTGCACCTGGATAGCATTAGTGTCGGATGAATTGGCGAATTCCTTCCGGAATTCACTAAACCTCTTGGAAACAGCCCCACACAAGCTTAATTCCAGTACCTCAGCGCTCAAGATTCAGTCCCTATTGGTCGGCTCCTCACAAGGAACACCCACGTTGATTAGACATTCTATAATCTGTCGATAGTGTTGCATCTCAAGTAACGGGACAAACTTACTCTTGTCCTTAACTTCCAGGCAATTCGGCACGAAGAAAATGCGTCCATGCATGACCAAGACTGCTTAGTGTTGAAATGTGTCTGGAAATTTAACTAAATGAGAGCACTCATGTGCTATTCCAGACTTTCCCATTATCCTTTTGGGGAATATGTTAATTACCAAGTGTATCAGAAAGCAGAATGCACTTTTAAGGATTACCGACTTTCTTTCACTGTTTCACTAGACATTCGTGTTTCAACAACAATAATACACTTAGCATTCTTCATACGATGTCCTGATCGACCCTTAAAATCGGAATCGGATCTTGGTGATATAAAACTCGAAGTGTTACAATCCTCTTTCAAGTCATCCTAGGACCTCTGGTGAGGCATATTGTACATCTTGCCGGTTTAGCTCGTAACGTTTTGGAGATTTTTGGGATGACTTGTCTTCTGTTTCTGATTCACCTCTGAACCCTGTTGGTGTTATCGTATAAGGACTTCACTCGAGCCTTATTGACAGTTTTTATGTCTACTATGCTTTGTCCATGAAATCTAAATGGGTACTGACACGTGTGCAAACAGCCCAAATTGTTTCCTCATGCCTCTTTACACAATTTTTTGCACGCTACCTAACCTGTGTCCTAGCTCACGCGAATGACAATGGTTGCATTCTTTTCACCCTCTGGCGACCGGAGATTTTCGCGTTCCTCCCGTTAGTCCGTATTGGCTCATCGCAGAATAGGTTATCGATCTTTCGGTTGTCCTGGTAACGCCGAAGCATAGCTTCCGCAGTTAAGTGGGTGTCGAGGCCTTGTTTTCATTGACCGAAATTCCGGATGGGCTAGTCACTTGAATAGTATGAATTAACCGAAAGCTATCCCTCTACACGTTTTGTTGATATATCCGTTGTTTATCTGATTGACTCAAAACCTTGATTGTCTGCGATCTTTGGGTTTTGTAAAAATTCCCCTGGAGATCTTTCGACTTAAAATCGTAATAAGTTCCGCCCATCTCTGCTCTCCATACTGTAGAATTATTAACAACAGGTAAGCGTCACATACCGGGGCAATCACCTTTTTTTCTTAAAGTAAGGAGAAACTGTATGTTTCTAGCGTGCAACTCGTCACTGTTCCGACGATTTATCTTTGCATTCGCATTTCTCCTAGCGATATAATTCTATGACAGTCGTGCAAATGAACTCTTGTGTTTGTCTCAGCGAACTCCAACGCGCGATTGCCACAATTTTTGGCTTCTTTTCAAATATTGTTGTATGTGCATGACCGACTTGGCGGGTCAATTTTTAACCTGGAATCCACTGTCAATAGGTATCATCTTGCTGATGGCTTTTTTGGCTTTCGCTTTCCTGTTCTCACATCTGCCGACCTCTTGGCATGTTTGTGTGTCATGTTTCCTGCGGCTTGTTTCATTAACTGATATTCTATATCAAGGTGGAAACTTGCTCCCATTGTATAGCCATCGTCCCCAGTTTCAGGTTATGGTATTCCGATTGGTTGGAATATGTCGCAATCGATGTTCACTATTCTACCAAAACAAAATTGATGGCTCAGTTTTATCTCTTGTCTCTTTCTATGTTAGCATGACTGTTTCCTATCTCCAACAGAACTTATTTCCAGTCTGGCCTCCGCTTATACTTAGGCCTAGTTGTGAATGAAGTCGTGTCCAGATGGTTCGTACAATTGAAAACAGCTGTTTTTTTAGTTCGAATCAAGTGCCTCGTCTGATCCCCGGGGTAAACTTTTGTCACAAGTTTCTCATCCAATAGCTGCAGTACGCATCTCACGAAACTCCGGAGAGTATTGAACCCGCGGCCTCCTGATTAATAGTCTGGACACAACCGTTCAGCCCCAAGTGGCTGTTCAGCAGTGAATTCTCAGATGGAATTCCACTCGTCGGGTTAATTTTATTTTTCCTCCGAGTCACTAAGAGATTGTTGGTAGTGTGAGGAGACTTGAGAATTTTAATGAAAACTGGAATTTACTGTTGGTTGATCAGATGACCGTTGGTCTATTCGCCGAGCTTGGCATTCGGCTTGTAAATGTTTCCTCCCCAGTCGAGAAGATATAGTCAGTGCGCAACTGCGCATTACCAAACTCGGTGAACAGATTAAGGACCATCTGATCAACCACCAGTAAGCACACCTGAACTACCAATATTTCGGCACACTGACAGACTGGAGTTTCGTTAGATGCGCACTATTGACGATGCCCAATAAGGGTGAAACAGCTGTACAGTGCTTTTCAGCTTTTCAGCATAGATTAACTTCACTTACAGGACGAAAACTCCATTAAGATTCCCGAATCTCCTCACACTACCAACACCATTCTTTGGCCCCGATTCCTGGGCTTCACTAGTGTCTTCACTTCCTTCAGCCAAAGCAGCATAACGATAATATTCCAGCAACTCTCCGTCCACAAATGTTATTTCCGATGGATTTCGTGATGGCTGAACGGTGTTCACTTCCTGCTAACCATACCTAAAAACAGATGGGATAGGTCTTCCCATATCTGTGTTGTGATGACTCCAAGTTGGGATTCGTTATCCGGCATGGTGCATTTAGATGTTAGCTTGTTGAATCTACCTCACGCCGAATGTTTCAAAGGCGTGGATTTGGATAGTTGAACCTTTTCAGTTAATGAAACAAGTGACTATTTCGTAGGGCCAAATTGAGTAAATTAGAGGTATCGGACAATAACTGCAGAACCAACCAGATGAAGCGTGAATCTCTGGTAGGGAGTGGGTAGTCCGTTCTCGAACCCTGAGTGTTTTTCTTGTATTATTCTAAACCATCTTTTGCTGATTAACAAAGGGTTGTTCGCACCGGGAAAATGAATCGATCAGGTACGAGCACGGATAATGGCTGGTAGGGTATAGCTGTCATGCGCTTACGTCACCTTTCGCAGTTCGGGAAAGTCACTATGTCCGCAGGTTAAAGACAAACCCCACAGAGATCAAGGTACGGTTTCCTTACTGGGTATATCATTCATTCGGTTTGGACCACTTTTGTTTTGGTGAAATCTTTTTTGCTCTTAAGGACCTGTACGTATTCCGACCCGCTCGATTTCCTCAGTCATATGGAATATTCGGAAATCACATACTTGTTTGCTTTGCTTGTGCCGAGCGATCTGATCAAGAGTTGCTTTCCTAACCTATGTTGTACTACAATTCTGCTCATTGCTAATAAATCCTAACCGCTATTTCTAATCTACTTACTTTTAATGGCAAACATCAATCATGAATAATAACAAAGGGTAACTAATCTCTTTAATCTCTCTACAACGAACGGTGTTCCCAAGAACTAGAGTTTCTCAGCCTAATTTGTTAATCTCTTTTTACCTAAAGCATTATACATTTTATAGAATACTATTTTTTCACCTCTTCTACCTATGTTTTAAGATACGATTCTGTTCTCCGTGCCTTGCGTTATGGTATCTTTCGGAATCAGTATTCGTGGAACTTTGTCAGTCTCTAAGTCTGATCTACGTTTCGAGCGTGATCCGAGCAATCCTCATAATCAGAATTTGGATAAAGACGTGAGTTTCACCCCCTCTACCGTTCGTGCCAATGTTATACTGCTGTGCAACGCTTTGTTTTTATTATTTTTCAATATTATTGTTACTTTTATTTTGGGACATTTTTCTACTCTCCGCTAATGATTCTTCAGTGCCAACTGTTTCTAACTCTGCCTGGAATTTGATGGGTTTTGTCAATTGTAACACTTGATGCCCGGTTATTGGCCAGCCTAGCTGTTGGCAATTAAGGCGAACTTCTCTACAAGCGTTTTGTTCAGTCCACGTTTTCATTGTGCTACCCATGCCCTACCTTTTATTGTCACTAGGTGCTTGTGTATGTCGAGCCCGCTCGCACGAGATGGTTGTTCTCCGAAATCCAGGCCGTCTTTGGTCGTCGCTACTTACACCGTACGATAGCGATTGAACTATTTGTAACCTGTCGAAGTAAGTTAGCGGGTGGTGAAGTAACCTCTGTTGCCTGTTCTTCTTCCGATATTTTGCGATGCATGCTGACATGAGGCTATAATCGCAATTCAGCTAGTTTGTCTGACGCACCAGTCTCAAGCACTGTCGACTTAGTGGTTTTCGTCATTAGAAATAAACCACAGCTATGGGCGTAAAAATGTCTCTTCTCCGGATTCGGATCAGACAGTGCACTTGCATGAGAAAAGGAAAGCCACTGAACTGCATTACCGCAGTGTGATTGGATATTACTCAAGCGTCCACCATTATTCAGAAATTTTGACTGATCGGCTGGCCTAGGTAGAACAACATAAGACAGCACGTGCTCGCCCGATCAGTCGGTGGCGCATACACTGTAAAATCAGAAAACAGTTCATTAGATTGATGGATTTGCTTATCCGTACCCACAGCAACAAAGACTGTGTACTGTAATTTAAAGTAGCCTGGTCCTAATCGTCCGGGTAGCCTGAATGTAACCGTTGTTTTGCTGTCGTCATTCTGGTTAGTAGCGACTTTGTCATTGGTAAAACACCCGCTGACTCACTGCAATAGCCGCACAACCACGTCAGATTCCAGAATAATGATCGAAACTTCAGCATTAATACTTGCAACTGCCCATTTGAGGGTCCGAGCTGGGTGCCAATGGTCGAAAAACCTATGGTAGCACATGAGCAATTTTACGCGTTAGGAGGACAGGGTGGGACTTTCATTAAGACACCCTCCCATTGTTCGTCAATGTGACCAATCGAACTGCCCATTTGAGGGTCCGAGCTGGGTGTTAATAGTCGAAAAACCTGTGGTGACACGAGCAAATTTACGCGTTACGAAGACAGAGTGGGGATTTCATTGAGATACCCTCCCATTGTTCGTCAATGTTACCAATCATCTGTTTGGGTCGTACATTCGTGAATAGTTAAACAACGTCAAAATAGCCTATCTGTTGGCTATCTAAATGTTTTCCCAACAAGAGGAAACTGTCGAGTTTCTCTGGGTCAGAACATGCCTTCATTGTTCGGATTCGTTATCTTCAGGAGCAGGCCTCCCCTCCGTCGTGTAAAGCGGTACAAGGGACAGATTACAAGGCCAATGAGTTTCGACGAAATAAAATCATCCCGCGGCTTGTTTTTTCTCCTGCCCTGTTTGTATTCATCAGAGGATTACCATACCTCAAATTCTTGCTTACCCTGTGTTTCCTACTGATATTAGTCCACAGAGAGTTCTTCAAAATCGAAGTCGAAATGCGATTATGTGCTGTGCTCACCATACTTCCCACACTGGACTGAAACTGGCTCCATATCGTGTTCTGTTATCTCTGCTTTCAAAAACAACTTCTCTAAACCTGGAGGTTGATGTTATCTCTTTTTATAGTGACTTTTATGATGACTTTTTATAGGGACTGTCGGGAACGCAACATGCAAGAGATTGTGTGGACTGTGTATTATATCCCTTGTCTTTTAGCGGAAACCGATAAGCTTCTTCGTAGTTGATAGCGTACCCACGTACTTTTCTACTGCGCTTTGTTCTCGGATTTGAGAGATGGCGTTTGCACGAAGTTTTTGAGTTGTTGGAACTATACTTATAGAGGTCCTTTTCTGTCTGTCGATGAGCCCTTATCTGGTTGGAACTGCTGTTTGACTAGCTCCAACCCGCTGTAGATTCGGACGAAGTGGACGCATTCTAATTGACACTCGGCGCCTAGCTATCATGCCAGCCGAAGGAAACACGAGGTCTGAGATACTGTTAGGTTTTCCAAGTCTAGACAAGAGCAGTCGAGATGCAGCGGTTGGGTTCGAACCACGAACTTTCCTGACAGTAAGTGGCATTAATGGAATTTTTTCACTGTTGCTTCGAAAGCTTCCCTTGTTTCGCTTACCTTTCGGCCTTGGCGCTTTCTCTTTTTGCCATCGCGTTCTTCTCAGTATTGGGGTTTGTAGCTGTGCGTTTATCATTCTTATAGTTCTCTGTGCTCGCCGGTGGGTTTTGAGAATTTGTAACCTGAATGCGCAACTTGTCGATCACATTTACAGACTCCGTGTTTCTGGCGTTCGAAGATGCTGATACCTTGAAGCGTGTTGTTAACGTGCTTCCTCCCGTTGGTGTTGGATCCAAGTACGGACTGCCGCGTGCTCGGACTGTCAGTCTAGACAGCCCGCGACGTCTTTTTCAACAGTCCAATATGACGCAGCGTTGGCAATGTCGGGAAGTATCCAACTTCGATTATTTGATGTATTTGAATACGATCTCTGGACGAACTTATAATGATATGAACCAGTATCCAATATTCCCATGGATTTTGTCTAACTACACAAGTGAACAGTTGGACCTCAACGAACCGACAAACTATCGTGACCTATCGAAGCCAATTGGTGCTCTGGATCCGAAACGGAAGGCCTATTTTGACGAACGGTATGCGACATGGGACGATGACTCCCAGCCGCCGTTTCATTACGGCACACATTACAGCACAGCAGCCTTTGTGCTTGGTTATTTGCTACGTATCGAACCATTTACTACTCTGTTCCTCCATCTTCAAGTAAGCCGATTCTTTTTTTTCTATGTTCATATGTCAATTTTCCGGTCCCTCTGACGTATTCTTTACTTGTTGATCGCACAGCGCGTAGCTAGAGGCGATCTACGGCGTGATAACCAATAGTAGCCCTTCACAAATCATGACCGAATTTTCCGCCGTCTTTACTGGCCTAGTGCACCGATTCAAGTATTTTTGTGAACCCGTATGTCGAATTAGGCCGTCGATACCGGCGCACCGCCCCCTCCCTATTTATGTGAGAAAACCACTGATCTTATTAAGTCACTAGACTGAATGAGAAACAGGTGACTTTGTTGGAGCGCCGTGAGCTGTGGACTCCTAGTGAGAATGACTTGGAGTTGCAGTTTATTTGACTAAAGCTGTTCGTAATTTCGACCAATTCTTTCATTAGTGCATCATCGTGCACAACCTGCTCCTGGGTTGTTAAAAGTGCTTACAAGGTTTTACCGAAGGCGTCCGACCTTTACGCAAAACTCTTCAAAAATTGCCAGTGGTTGCCAATGCTTTACCTTCTGCCGGGCGATCTGAACCACTTACTGTACTGATTTACCATTGTAAAGTAGCGTGTTTTTAACTAACCTCGAGAAACGAACGCTTATGCATCTACTGACTCGCATCATCGCCGTCTTCCAGTTACAATTGACCTGATACTTACTTTAGTTGTTCTTGTAGGAAACACTTTAGTTAGATTCCTTTGCATCTAGTAAACTCCGGATGATTCATTTTTCTTACTTTATAGTATGCCATCATGTGTTTGGTACCGTCTGCATCGACTTTCGCTTCATGTGTAGTTGAACCGACGCCACAGATTATCTGTATGGAGCATGGCTTCGTTTACAACTACAATCATGTTCTCCTATAAAGACCTGTAGGAATGACAAAAGAGATCTGAGTCGGGTTGGTCTTTATGTGGTAGAATAGAGTTGCTTCCACCTTACTCCGTTTTGTGAGCTATTTTTTCCAGTTACTTATTTTTCCATGTTTACGCTCGTCACGTGATTCCACCTGCCTTTCTCAACAAGCCCACAGGTGAATATGACTTCTCTGCAAAGTCTGTTTTTTCGGAAGTTATGGTGCTGCATTCTCATGCTTAGTTGTGGGAGTTGTGAGTTGTGATTGTAAGTTTGTTCTTCTCAGCGGGCCGTCCAAGGATTTTGTGTTTGAAGTATCATGGGATAAACTTGGCACTTCCAGCCACCTTTGGTACTGTGTTTGTACCTAACCTGCCAACAGTCTGATGTTGACTACATCACCATTCATCAAGTTAGCTACGTTACTTGTTCCGAATAGGCCATTTACCCACTGGGGCTGAGCAAGGCTGTTGAAGGAAAACTGCATGGCCTTATGTGAACCTCCCGCGCCACACCAGCAGATTTCATGATTCTCTCGCAACTTGATGACAGTTCGTACTTTGGTCTTTGTGTTTGTAGTGATTGTGTTATGTGTTCCTGCATCAATTTGTTCCAAAAACGCTCAGTTACTGTTCTCTTTCATTAACTAGAGCGGAAAGTTTGACCATCCGGACAGGACATTCTTTTCTGTTGGTCGGACATGGGATAACTGTCGAAGGAATACTTCGGATGTCAAAGAACTAATACCCGAGTTTTTCTACCTGCCTGAAATGTTCGAAAATCCGAATGGTCTGACTCTTGGGACCACGGAGGACGGGGAGGATATTGGAGTGGTAACTCTACCACCGTGGGCTTCCACTCCGGAGGAGTTTGTTCGAATACATCGGCAGGTAAGATTGGCAACACGTTACACGGATAACCGACGCACATTCGAACGCTGATTTATCTTCACTTTCATGGTTTTATGCCCTTGGCCCTTCCACCCCTAACTGGTGGGGTGATGGACTACCTTGTGTATGTCCCATTCCAAATGGACAAATTTTAGACGATGGTTACCTTCTTCTTCGTACTGCGCAGCTGATGGACTCTAGTGAAAGCTCGACTCAGGTCTGCACGTAAAGGCCATTTAAACGCGAGAAATCTCTTTGCTACAGAGGGATATTGGACCTTTGTACCCTCATCTGCATACCAGTTTGACTTTGACAAGAACCCAGCTGATTCTCTCATCTATCCTGTTCCTAATCAACTACATGTGTTGCACCAGGCCACCTTATGTTTCAGAACATCATAAACGGGGGACTCCACTGGGCTCCAGTTGAGTCTTCCGTTAAAACCAAATTGATATTCAGGTGAGTGCATAAGTCGAATTCAGTGCAATTTGGTTTCAAGTAGAACATAGGGTTAGCGGAAATTGGGCGACTGCGCCTACTTGATGGGACCCAAGAAGGGCGGAAACCGTCGGGTATTGTCGTAAAGTTTCTAGCAACCTTATGAGTATTATGTCTGTACGATATTGAACCCTGTTTTCCCATTACAACTACTTGTTGTTTTATGCTTTCAAGTCTCTTAGTGCTTTCAGTTGTTAAGTAACTGCCTAGGCAGGAAACTGCTGTTATTTTTGTCGATCAGTAACGCAAAACTTAAGGCCAAACCGGCTTTGTCTAACTTCTTGATCGTAACTTCTTGTTTACCTCCAGTGACGTTGAAGTTACCGTTTTCGCTTTGTCGGGAACTTCAGGTGGATCTATTTGGTAAGGTCTACCTTATCAGTCACCAGAGTGAGCACTTTTCTAACTGTCCCTTCTCAGCCAGACCAGCTGCATGAAAAACAGTTAATCGAGGGGAGCAAATATAAGCGGAAATATGGATCAGTGCGTGGATGGGTTTGGCGATAGGGTCAGACTGGAAACACGTAAAGTGAGAGGCATGTAGTGAGCACCACGTGACAGCTGGTTAATCGGACAATTACTCCGCTAAGACAAGTAAGAATAAACCTCCGGACGGTCATCGCGAGTGTCACTGGATGGTCGCCTTATGGTCAATGCCTTCTAACCCGTGCTCTATCGATCAGGTGACGATCCCTCTTTCTAATCACCTTTCTCTTCCATTCAGGCGCTGGAATCAGAATTGGTATCTTGTCAGCTACACCACTGGATTGATCTCATATTTGGCTATAAACAAAGGGGAGCGGAGGCCGTTGCAGCAACTAATGTGTTTCACTACCTTACCTATGAGGGAAGCGTTGATTGGAGCAAGGTAAGTTTCCACTGAAATATGCTAGCGAAGTTTTCCATCTTCGGTGAAAGAATTCCACTCGAATTTCACGATTAAACTACTCTTCCGAAAAGCCGACCAGCTCGTAATAGTAGTCTGTGTGTAATTCATCTAACCACACCTAATGGAACTTTCAAAATCTTAAGTACGGCTGGTTTGAAGGTTCTCAACAGCACATTTAACCAGCAATTTCTTTGAGTCATGCGGATTACGTTCAAGCCCTAACCTCTGGTTATCAGAAAAGTACTACTCGGTTTGACTTGCCTACTCGATTTGAACTTTGAACAGTGTATCAGTAGTCTGCTGTGCATTATGATTTTCGCACCAAGTTCCTTTCATAACCGGGTTCTTACCTTTGGTTTCAAGCTCCGTATTTCGATAAGAAAGCTACCTTACGTCTGCAGAGGATCTGAGGAAATCCGAATAGCTATACCGATCTCCTTGCTGCTCTTATATCCTTGAGCGCTGCTAGTAAACCGTGAACCCAAGCTATTCCACGGAGTTACTATCTGTCGCCTCGTTTTCGAGTACATTTAAAGATGTGTGTAAGGATTTTCTGTCATAACAAGCGTATCATGGGTGGAAATATCGGCATTTTTATTGCTTCCCCCACTTATCTGACTATCGCGTTCGCGTGCCTCGGGGCGATGCCATTATGAACCAAATGCTGCCTTCCCATTAGCCAAGCCTCTATAGCCCTCCAAGCAGCAAGTCGCGTTTTTGAAAGTATCTTCTCAAACCTTTGATGACGGTGTTTGGTGTTGTAGCGTTTTGAAAATGCTGTTAGTGAACCAACGGGACAACTAGAGAGTCAAACGCACAGATCAATCGTTCAACCAATCCTTCGTTCATCATAATGAAATTGGTAGTTAACACCAGATTACTAATGCATGAATGCCTAAGAGCTTGCAGAACTAGCAGGCTTTACGGACAAATCTGTTGGTTATTCACTATGTCGTCTTAAGATGCTGTCGTGACGGTATCTTCAAACAGTTGAGTTGCAGCTAGATACTCGGCAAGTAGCTACACGTTACTGAGTGTGTATATGTAGCGGATGAAGATGCAAACACACGATAAACCCACTCTTGAGTTGAACGCTGAGAACCGTGCTTGCCGCTCACGAGCAATCTATGGAATTGTGCTAGTGGTATATCATAGTCACAAACCAATAACGTTGGTGTGGTTTATTAAACTTAACGTTGCACTCTGTTCACTGTAGTCTCTCGATGGATCGAAAAACAACATAAGGTGTACCGAAATTATGGAAGCTTGCATGCTTACCTTTGTTTGACAAGTGTCACATTTGCATCTTAACTCTGAGACATTTATTGCCAAAATACCAAATGAAGAACTCCTTTCCCCCTAAGTGAATGAATATACCTTCTAAATCTTCTGTAACCTGCACTCTTGAGATATTGTTTTCGGCTAGACATTGTAGTGCTGGTTTCATTGTTATCGGCTCTATTTGGTCTCCATAATGTCAGCTGGTGCGGCATGTTACCTTATTTGAGAAGCGACCGCTGTGCATACCCCAAAAACCGTACTGTGCGCACCTCTTGGCTGAGGGTCCCATACTAGTTGGACAGCAGCAAATTATCCACCGGAGACGTAATTACGGTCACCCCATAGGTCCTCAAGGCTGCTCATTTACCACACAGTCGGATGTTATATAATATACACCTAGTAGTGTGGTAAACCTTGGTAGGCCGAGGTTGTAGAACGTTTATAGTCGTGACGTTATACTCAACGTCATAAAATGCGTTATCACTATCTGGACGCAACACATTTCACACAAGGCCGCTGAAAACCTCGACAGTCCAATACGAAATTTCACTTAACATCTCCGATTCCACCTCAGTGAATACCAGCATGCAGACTGGGAAAAATCAATCATTTTGATCTCTTGGTACATAATTTACCTGTGGCCAGTTAACATGGGTGGTGTTCTAACAAAAACAGGGAGGTTACCATGGGTTGGTTGCGTCATTTGAGATCTTTATCGGGCTATCCTAGCGCAGTGAACTGATTGAAGCGGAATTCCCGAATATGAGTAGAATTGCCGCTTAATTTATAGCTAATTAACTGGATCAGGAATGTGTATTGTTTCGTCTGTCCCATGACCCGGATCTCTTACTGAATGTTTTCCGTTCCAGATAACTGATCCGGTCTTGATCAAGGCGGTAGAAGACCAGATTCATGGATTCGGTCAAACGCCAGCTCAATTGCTGAGAACACCGCATCCCCATCGCAATTCCGCTCTGCACATAGATCCTCTGATGTTTAGTCAGTTGCGATCGGACTTCTGCACGGTTTTCAAGTTCTACTCGAATTCTCCCGTTATGTTCATCAGTTGCCACACGGACTTGTCAAGTTTGCCGTTCCCATCGGTCCTCACAGTAACCGCAAGTCGGACGGCTGTTTTAACTCGGTGGAACAGTGCATCAGCAGGTGTGTATAAGTTAGATTTCCTGAACTTTCTTGAACACCGTCTAGTGACATCTCTCTGATGAGAGTCCACTCGGTGCACATCCGGTGTTCGACGGAAGAGAGCCTATTGAACAGAAGCTGGGCAGCAGTGGATATGCGCCATTTATATCGTATTTCCAACAAACTTCATGTCACTCTGGCAGCTGTGGCGTATCGGCAGTTTGCAACGTTCACCTAGACGGCTAGTCTTCCCAGACGAACTACCCGTAGTAAAGCAAAGCTTACGGCTTGGCAGTTCATCGGTCCTCGGTAGTTTCTTGCGTTGTGCGCGCAGTTACCAAGACGGTTCCGGAAATACCAGCCATACGTCTTTCGTCCTTTTTGTAACTCAGCAATTGAGCTGTTGTTTATGGCTGGAAGAGTTTACCGAGGGAAGCTGGACTTGTGTGTGAAATTGTGATGTCCCTTTCACGTAGATTTATTTGCCTTTAGAATTTTGTGTCAATTACTAATATGCTTGACAAAAGAAATCGTTCAGCTGTAGCATCCTTTCACTGCCTAACTGGTATGCCGCCAGAAGGAAGCATGAGGGCTTGAATACTACCAGGTTGCTCAAGTCGAGACAGGAGAAGTCGAGGTGCAGAGGCCAGGTTCGAACCACCGACCTTCCGGTCAGTATATTCGTGTTCGAACCACAGCCATGTCCTTGTTTTATCCCAGAATAGCTTTTCTTACTGTTCCAAGGTGATGGTTTGGCAACTCATCGTCTATCCGTTTTTTTTCAGAGTGTGTGGCTGCGTTAACTTTTATGGGATCAGCTAGGCATATCCCTTTTTATTGAAGCTTCACTACAGTGAGACTCTGTACTTAATCTTGTCAACTTACTACGTTCCCATCTTTTTTATTTTGTAGACAATGCCTATCAATCTGGTACGTGCACTGGATTTTTCATATTGGTTGTCTGCATCGCACTCAGTCTGTACGCTTTTTGCTTTTTGTTCCTACTCAGTATAAGTCAGTCTCCATCCTATTGCCAACTTCCGGATGTACCATATCATGCAGTCATATGACTTTGTGGATGTTAGGGATTTGTAGTAAATCGTTGAGAATATACAGTAGATCAATAACCCACTTATTCCACAATTTTCCAGTTTACCTTGGTTTCTGCGTGTTTGACTTCATCTTTTGTGAGGCGAAGCTGTCTCTTGTCGATTTCCTTAATGGCACGTGTGTATGTTCGTTTGGTTGGGCAGGTGAGAAGTTGTGTTTATCGATACATTTCCATTAAAAGGCATCCAATCAGTGAGAGTGGAACATTGTTTGATTGCACTTTCAAAACTGTGATATTTGAATTATAAGCTTTTTACTCTACGTTGTGCTACTCGGACTCCAATAACCCCCGACATAGCTGACAATGCTTAGGTATTGAGGTCAGAGGAAAACCCAGGTTGCACAATTTTCGTCCTCCCTTGGCATCGGAATACCCGTATCAGAAAGTAAAGCTAAACAAAGTGATGCCGTATCAAATTTGCAAGGTCTGATGGCTACTCACAAACAACACAGGGATTCGAGGCAACCTCGAATACATACATCTTAGGATTTGTTTCCCATCTAAGCACCAGGATGCGCCCTAACTGATGTCCTCTATGTTGCAAACTAAACGACTCTTTCAGCATTGGTGTTTCTCTGTCGTACTTATTCGGACGTGCCTGTCCCACAGACATCTAGTACAACACCTAGTTTGTTTGTTTGTTTGACTCGTGCAAGCTTCCACCACCATTTTTGACATTACCCGTTCCGCACCTGTTATTCGTTCCCCGATTGGTTGTAAGTATATGGTTCACAAGGCTCTCAACTCATTTATTACTCCAGTTTGTCTGATCACAGTACTTATTAGATCCCTCGTGTTATTCTTTCATCGTTTCAATAACTTCACTATCTCTTGTATCCACAACCTAGCCCGCGCGCTTCCTATTCGTCCTTCGAAATCATCGTCTTCATCTGCGGAGACTGAGGTAACGTCAAGTTCCTCTGGGAAAGTCAGTAACGCCGTAGATGACTCCGAAAATCGTGCGCCTTCTTCAACCAGTGCAACTGACGAACCAACCAGAAAGTCCTCCCACCGCACTGAGGAGTTAGGAGCAGTCACACATGGCGGTACACCTTTGGAAACTCATATTTCCTACTTATTGTCAAATGACTTGCCCTCCTGTGAGTTCATTTTTGTGTTGTATGCTCCTAATAACCACGTATATTAAATCGTGAGTGCCAAAGTGAGATTTAGAGATTCCTTATGGTGATAATTCTGAAAGTCGCAACCGGCTAGCTGCATATTAAAAATGCTTGTGGTAGTGATTAAAGTTCACCAATACTGCGCCAGTTTGTTAGTTCACATCCTGTAACGCACCAGCATTAGTCTCTTGAGCTAGCTCCTGCACGCCCTAGTTTTCAAAATCTAGTGTAGCCTATACGCCTTTGTGCCCTCACTGTCTGCCAGGAAAACCTAATGGGTGAAGCCTTTGATTGATAGTTATGGGTCTAGACGAAGTCTCTACTAACCACCTAGTCGTTCTCTTAGTATTTGGGCGAATTTCGGCTGGAATACTTGAGGTCAGCCCACAGTAACCTCGTTCACTCGGTGTTTTTACCCTTATGGTGGCTCCTCAAGTGGACATGAAATGATTAGCCCATGTTCTGTACCAGTGCGATGCTAATGAAATCATTTATAGCCTGACCTAACCTTTCTAGCATCACCCGCTGGTCGTTCAGATTCCATCTTTGAGTGTCTTAGTAGTCGAATTCAAACAAATCGAATCAATGCCAGTTATGTCAGTCTTTGTTATATGGCTCAGCTGCGTCGTTCCAGTGTATCGCTGCCGAGTCACTCGAATGAAGCGTATAAATATTCTCAGGTCGCTCACTCTTATACATAAACAGCAAATTGGTTCGATCACGCTGGAGGACGTGCAGTCATTGAACAGGCCACTTACAATCCAGGGAGAGACACTCGAAGTTGTGGAGCGTCTCACTTACCTTGTAAGTTGTATTGAGACTGAGACGTCTTCAGATGCTCGGCAATCTTTGTCTCAGGACCATTGCTCGTGTGGTTTGGTGTCGGGAAGTTCGCTGGGGCAATTAAAAAGAAGTTTTCGGTTGTCCAATCGGGACCTCCATCGAAGAATGTGTCCAGCAATAGAAGCTGGTTTGTTATGCCGTGTATTGCGTATGCCGAACCGTCGTTTGCCGAAGAGAGTACTGTTTTCCGTGTCAAATTCAGAGTGGCAGAAGCAGAGAGGTGGCCACCTCTTCACGTAAAAGAGATTAAGAAACGTTTGGGTGCTGTCGGTGCTACTCACCTTCCAGGATGGGGACCGCGTGATCCCCACTGCGCCTGGTTGGAGACACTACAAGATATCACTGCCAACCGATGTCAATGGCGTCCTTGTTGTCAGCTTCTATCCAGAATGAATGAGTGCTTGCAGAAGTAGGCACATCGGAATGATTGTAGTAGGCTAGCACTAAGTCCCTTCTCCGTCCACCGTTGTTCTTTTCTTCACAATAAGCCTTTCAAATAAATCATGGTTGTGCGGAAGTGAAACATCGGTGTTGCACACTGATGTCATGCAGTCGATGATGATGCGGGGTTGTTTTCGGACCACAGACCTGTTTAGTAGCTTGTGCCACAAAAGCCGAGTATTATCCATCTTAATCATGTCGTGGGCAGTCGGTACACTGATGAGTAAAAATTGGTCATTCACACTTCCTCACCTGAGATTGTTTTAGTTTTCGCTTCACATGTTTTGTATACCGCTCCGAAACTAAATCTAGCCACTTTCCCGGGCTTTTCGAACATAGTAACCTTGGGTATCTTACTTCATAGTATCTGCAGCTACTCCAAAGATGCAGTAATGGATGATCGCTTTCTTGCACATATGGATACGTGCTTTTTGTCCGATTCATTTTGAGGCATGCCAATTGAAAATCGTCTGCACAAAAGCCAAAAACTTATCCCTCAGTAGTTGACAGCCCTACTCTCATTTGGTTTGTAGCTCAACACATTTCACCGCATGGTCACTGTCTTGGTGAGAATTTTGATCTCAATCTCGAAGTCCAAAACCAGCAGTTTGCGACGATCCTGGATAACCGGGTGTTGCTTGTATGCGGTTACGACGATTCCTCATTCCGACTATACTCTATGGAAACTGGTAAGTTGTCAACCCTTTGCTAACACACAACAAGACGAATCTCGTACCTTGACCTTTCTCTTTCTACTTGAAACATTTTGTTTTCCACCGTTTTAGCTCACTTTATTCAAGCAGTCTACGGCCATTTTGATATCGTCACCTGCATTTCCCACTCCGAATGTCAACCCGGTGATCATTGCTACCTGGCTACTGGAAGCCGCGATTGTACCGTAAAACTGTGGATCTACAACACACGCCGCCTCGCTGTTCTGGGCGACCGAGGTAGTTCTATAAAAACAGTAACGTTTTGTTCTATATCGATGATATACGTCGATTCTCTGGTACCACTTGAAGTTATCCCTCTTTCCTTCCCACTGTTTCCTTCTTTTGTAACAGCTAATGGCCATGCATCAGCTTTGGTTACAATTATTGGACATGAAACGGAAGTAACATCCGTCAGTGTTTCTGCCGAATTGGGACTGATTATTAGTGGATCTAAAGGTATGCCTTCACCTCTGTTCTCAAATCTGCTAGGGTAACGGCGACACTAGGATTTTATTGTTTCCTAATTTTCAGTTCTGCTGGTCGCGATTATGTTTTCCGAAAACCAAGGACGAATCAGATATTCTGGTTTAATATGCTTTCTCGAGCGAAATGCGTTTCTCTCCATCTCACGCTTTTTGTGATCCCTGTGGATATAACACGCCTTCCCTTATCTTTAACAGCCGGAACTTGCCTCTTGCACACCACCCGAGGTAAATTGCTTCGTCAGTTGGTGACACTATCTCCTGTCAACAATCCACAACCGGACAACTCAGAGAACACTCCTCTTTCCATCAGTGCCCGTCCTCCGATTCGTCTTGCATCCTATCATCGTGAGGGCTATCTGCTGGTCCAAATTGGCTCCACTACTTTGAATTTGTACACTCTGAATGGCAAGCTAATCAAATCCAGTGATCTAAACCATTTGGCGGCGGTCACAAACTATGAACTAACTGCTGTTGTGTTCAGTACCTGTGGACGCTATTTGTTGGTTGCAGGTAGTGACGGGGTCGTTTGGGTACTGCATAGTCATAGTTTGGCTCCGATTCACACATTTCCCCGTTGCGATGCTCCGATCCGGTCCCTCACTGCCGCGAAAGCACAACGGTACGTCCTTACGCTAATGTTCCTGTCTATCTGACAGATTGATACTGCTGAATCCTACAGAATCGCTTTGATGCTCACTACTTGCAATTTCTATGTTGCTTCATTTAGGATCCATGCATCTGAATCTATTCCCGAAGGGGATTACAAGAAACCAAGTTAGCCGATCTACAATGATTTACCCTTGTCTTCGAATTTCTGGGTATTCCAGTCTTGAAAGGCGTCATTTCTAGCTTAATAGGACAAAATCTTAAAATCCGAACGTCGTTGACCATTGACGAAAGAACAGTGAGAGTTGTTTCTCGAAAAGTCAGGAAGCGCCAATTCATTGGGCAACACACTAACACGTCTGGTACCGAGTGACGTCATATCCTGATAGAAACTTTACAGTTTACTGATCATTTCAGATACTACTATACTCCTCGGTTGTTTAACTCAAACTCCTCTCATGGTCGCTTCATGGAACCATGAGCTTGACTGCCTCGTTTTCCAGTTCAAGTAACTTCAGTTTTCACGCATCACTTAGCCACAATACAACACAATGCCGCACACAGCCAAACCCAGTTTGCAACCTGTTTGCTTTTACAATATTTTCAACAATCCTGTAGGCTGTTTTTTTTACTGGGTACTACGGCCAGGACCTACAAAACTCAGTATGAAGGTCACCAGCGATGTATGTTTTCACCAAATGAATGTCCCACAATTAATGGTCATCTTGTGCACCAAAACTGCAAAATACCTACTGCTTTCACTCGTCTCATCTCACCTTCTCGTTATGAGCTACTTGCCTCTTAACCGGTCGAGACCCAGCACATCTCGACTACTTGTTAGGTCTTGGGGTTTCTGTTCAACATGCTTTGTTTCTTTCGGAAGAACTGTGACCCAATATGCACGTTTTTAATCGGTTTCTCGGCTGATCCCATATTTCTCGTTCTTTCTTTGTAGTTGCTACCTTATGTCCACTCGACTACAGGTTATTCCACACCCTCACCGTGGTAATACCAACGGGAAAATTTCTCCAAAATACTGTTCTCATTGACTATTTTATTTGCCTTTCACTTGTTATTGGTCGGCGGTGTGTGGTGCTGATTGCCCGTCTACTCGACGTGTTCAATGTGGCATCTACCTTGCTTGAAAAACTTGGGTCATCAGTTGGCGATTTTGAACCTGACCTCTTCGGTCCACCCAGACCAGTGGGTTCAGTCAGCATAGAGCTAACTCCGAGTGGGTCTTCCAGCGCTATTGGGTCAGATTCATACGGAAACTGCTTTGAGCTACCCTACCAACATTTATTCTTACCCACACCACTACATCGCGGAATAACACACTGAACCAAATTTATTGTAGGTCGTAGCACTCCTCTGTCTGTTTGTCGACTTTGTCCCATTTAATTTGATGTGCTACTGCAGTACCTGGTTAGCAGTATGTATCGATGTGGTGATTTTTCATTGATGTTGCCACTGACTGTTCACGAAAGGCCTGGATATCTCCCTTGTTTCCTAATCTAAATTCAACTACCTGTGATCGGTGTATGCACTGAGCGGACTGGCTCAGGTTAGAATGGATGTAGCTTGTGGAAGGCATCGACTAGCTTCTGAACTAGAAATTGTGTTGAACCAGTTGAACCTTGTGATCATCCGCGGGTGAATTGCACTATCGGGGATTAAGTCAATCTGTACCGGAAGTACCAGCACACGGTTGTTTATTTTTTCAAGGATCATGGCGTAGCAGCACCAACCTGTGTTGCTTCATCCAGGTACTAACTGGTTTGTAGTAAATCACTGGTTCTTTTTTTCTGGATGAGGAGGACATTTGTTGTTCAGGCTTATCCGTCGAGCGAATTGCGTGGAGTAAATTGCGCTGACTGAAACTTTTTCGAAGTTCAGAGCATAGCAACCGTAAACTGATGATGTCCCCAAAAATTGATGACGAAAGGTTTTCAAACAAATTGCGAAGTTCGGTGAGCAGGTCAACAGTCACCTGATTTAAAACCTAGTCCAGCTTGATTTGTCGCAGTTTACATGTAGATACTGGTACCTACGTTTTGATACATCACAAGCACTCCTCGTGTGACTTCGAATTCACCGACTATTTTTTCGGTTTTCTCAGATTCCTGTTGGTTGGTCTCGCAACTGGTTCACTGGTCGTCTTCTACCTGGACTTCAGTCGTTGGCACCATGAGTTTCAAGAGCGCTACTCCGACTAGTTCCCGACAGTTTTGCCGCCGTGATAGCTATGGTATATGTCCTCGGCCTACTGATGAGCATTTGTTTTGGGTTCCCATTCCCAAGCAGTGTGGTTACTTTCGTTCATTTTTGTGATCATATCAACACATTCCTCTTTTTGACTTATCGTGTTTTTGTGCACCCACATTTGTTGTCTCTTTTGTATCTGCACTTCTTGAGGCTGTCACTCTTCATCTCGTGAATACCCGTGATATGAGTAAATCGTTAATGGACAATGGTCTTCTCTCGAAATAGGTCCGAAATAATGTGGCTGCTTGAGGGTAGCTCAGATCCGTATCGGGTTCTCATCGCATAAAGTTGGTGCTTTCCCGAAAGATCTTTTCCTCAGCAAACCCTCGGCAATGTATCACTCCCTGGGAGACTCAACGGCTAGCCTTCTTAGTCATAGCATAGCGTGCGATTGTCATCCCCGAATAGAGAGCTCAACTACTTTAGATCTGGTCCACTCTCATCCTGTATTAGGTATTAGCGAGATCCGCTTGCCCCCTCGCCGCTCGCAAGGGATGATTGTTCTGGACTGACGTGCCTACTTACCCAACATGTGCAGCTTCCCGATCTGTTGTTTCCTGGCCACCAACGTAAGTCGTCGGCCAAACGGAGTGCGGTTTCTCAAACCGGTACAGTCTTGTCTATTGTTACTGGAAAACTGCTTTCACGCAAGCAAACTGCACTAATTTTACAGTTGGTGGTCAGATTGGTTGGTCGCTGATCCTAAGTTTGTAGTCTGAATCCCCAAGTACTGAACCATTGCAATAAAAATGCGCAAAATCTGTCCCCGCTGGGTATCTCCTTCATTGGCTTGTCTTCACGTTATGGGAAACCGTGAACACCGATTTAATTTCAAGTTGAACTCGACTGGTAGCTACGTGAACATAGACAGAATTTCGCATCTAAAAGATTCCCATACATCACCAACTTACCGGGACATCGAGAGGCTATCCAGCGCAGATGAAAGGCTGTTCCATTTGTAACCGAAATTTTAGTCGCTCTTATGTTTATGGGCTCTTAGTCAGTTGAAATGGTTGTGGTTTTTGGAGCTTCTTTGGCATTTCCTCGTAGGTCAGGCTTGTTTCCGTCAGAATATTTCTCCGACGCTCACATACCACCATTCATTGTCACCATGTACTGTGAATAAAGGTTACAATGTCCCGTACTCACTCACCCTTCATATCAGTATCACCCCGCCCCTTTGATTTGCTGTCTCCCCCTTGAGTTGGCTAACGCGGACGAAATGTATAGGTGGAAAGCAGATTTGGAGCAAAGGTGAGAGTGCTAATGAATCCCATTATCAAGATTGACACTGGAAAGCAGAGCCACGTACAAACTCACTATGCACTGCAGTGAGTTGTCCCATGGGTGTCTGCCTTCAAACGTCAGCAAGACTAGTCATCTACTCCCCAACTAAATAGACTGATACTGAGCTTGTCAAGTTGAGCAGTCAAAACTCCGTGGTCCTCTCATCTGTTATTCACCACCTGTTCGTCCTTAGACTGACCAAGTCTCCTGGGACAACTATGGGTGCCGTACTCGTTTTCCCCACATTTGAACAACCGCAGTACAATGTTTCGAAAATTCCCATTTATATTAAGAACACAGATGGGTTGACGAACAGTTTTCGGCA